GTTGTAGCTGTAGAAAAATTAATGTAAAAAAATTAATATATATGTTTTAAGTAATGTTATTTAATGTTAATAAATGGAACAATAGAAGTAGCTAACCACTAATGGTAAAGAAAAAAAGTGAGATGGATTGGGAACGCCAACATATACTTGCGCATTTAAGGATACCGCTTCATTTATCTTTTTAAGAATACTGTATGTACAAAAGACTCATTATTTTGTTTATTACTGAATATGTATTGGATTGAATTCATCTTTATATATGCGAAATGAACAATACAATTCATTTATAATACGTAAAATATTAAAACACACGAGGATAAGAGACCTGAAATGGAAGGAAATAAGACACTGGTTGTTGTGTAGTAAATTTAATTGAAAAAAATATGTATGTTTTAATTAATGTTATTTAATGTACAACAGAAGTAACCACTGATATTAAAGAAAAAAGTGAGATTGATAGTGGAACGCCCATGTACAGGTATACGGTACTTGCGCACTCAAGGAAACATAGTCATATATCTTAAGAATGTGTACAAAAGATTCATTATTGTTTATTACTGAATATGTATTTGATTGAATTAATGTTTATATATGTGAAATGAGCAATGCAATTCATTAATAATACGTAGAATATTAAAACACACAAGGAGACAAGACGGCATTGTTTTCGTGAGTGTTGATGGTTCTACATAAGAAACTGAAGAAAATAAGAACCTGGTTGAAGCTGTAGTGAATTGAATGTCTTTATGTATGTTTTAAGTAATGTTATTTAATGTTAATAAATGGAACACTATAAGTAGCTAACCACTAATGGTAAAGAAATAAAGCGAGATGATTGGGAACGCCAACGTATGTGCAGTAAGTGCGTACATGTGAAAACATATCGTCATTTCTCTACATTTGAATATGAAAGCAACACTAATTTACTGTTCAAATATGTTTTAAAGAATATTTACGAATGTAAGAAAAATTTTTGCCAATGGTGGTAAAGTCTAAAACATAAGGACAGCCAATGAATATTGTGTGAGTTTTTACTCAGATTACGAAGTCATCAGGTTCAACTCTGGCTGAAGCTGTAGCTTTCCATAAAGCTGTTGCTGAAACTTACTGAACCTGAAGTTGTTGTTGAAGCTGCTTATGATGCTGAATTTGATGGTCAAGCTGAAGTTGATGGTTTAGGCCTTTGAATAATAAGGCTGTTGAAAGAACCTTGCACAGCTGCTTTCTTTTCTCATTATACATCTTTATGGAGAGGTCATTTGCATTTATTTAAAATTTAATGCTTTGTTCAGTTAATGGATCCACTTCAGAAAATATGTTTATTGCTTGCTCCAAATAATAGCCACAGACCTCTCACTTTTTTCATATCGTTTTAACACATCTAGTTTCTCGGCTAAGCTTATGCACTTTCTATTAGCTTTTGAAACAACACTACCATCACTTGCTCTCTTGCTCATGTTGAATTGGGATGCAAAAATGCTGTAAGAAACTTGAGTAAGTTTTTCTCCTTTTTCTGTTCAGATGCGTGAAAACAAAGGGCCCGCCAGCTGCGATTATTTACTAGTAATGCTGGCATCACCACTAACAAGCCCGACAGCCTCCGTGCGCAAAGCATTTTTTTTTTATATAATACAGTGGTCCCTCGGTTAACGAACACAATTCGTTCCAGAAGGTCATTCGTTAACTGAAACCTTTGTTTTAATGGGTTTTGGGGTAATTGGTTCCAGCTCACTGAAAATTACCGAAAGTAAAAAAAAAAATGCAGTAAAGTACACTTACTTTGAGGTGTGCAAGTAGAAGGCTCCTGGTTGATGATGATGATGGGAATTAGAAGTGGGGTGGAGGAGAAGGGAGAAGAGAAGGCAGTGGGGTGGAAGAGAAGTCACCCCATGCTGCCATTTCACCCATAAAATTCTAAGTTCACTTGGTGTAATTCAAGATTATTTTCTTTAAATCAACACTGCACTGCACTATATATTGTCAATATGTAAAATAAATTTCAGAATGACCAATAATTGTACTGTAAAAACATAAAATTAATTTGTTAAAGAGAGTCTCAAGCAAGATGCTTCCTCCACTGAGCAGAGACACAAACTGACGCCATTCTGGGGAAGTCAATTGGCTGTTTGGCTAAAAACTAGTTCCCTGTACTTCAATTATGTTAAATAATTGTTAAAATGACTAAAAATTTAATATAAGACTTGGAAAATTATTGAATAGTACAACCTTCTTGATATTTACTCAAATGGTAACGAATTTAAGCCCTAAAACCGATTACTGTATTGGCGGACTAATACTACAGCTGGTGAGCAGGCGAAAACATGTTGGGAAAAATTCGTAAGGAATTCGTTAACCAAATTTTTTTCGTTAACTGAATTGAATATTCTTATGGAAGGTAATTCGTCAACCGAGGGATCACTGTATCAGGATTTAATTATTATTTATACAAAAATATAATATATATTTTTAAATTTTGTCTTAAATACGAAGAAAAGAATGGCGTGAATTGAATTGGGTCCTAAATTAACCTGGGTCTTAGATATGAATCTTCGTTAGTTGAACCATCGTTATTGGAGGCTTTACTGTATTACCATGTATTGCCAATGTATTTTATTTTTATTTATTAGTATAATTTTATTTATTTCTCGCATTTACTGGTACTACAGTATACATGCAATCCTGGTACCGAATAGCCTTGGATAATGAGGAGTATATTGTATATCAAAAGATTTGTGGTGAAAGTTGCCGGCTGGGAACTCATCCCTCCCATTTACATTAATTCTTATGGGGAAAATTGCCCCAATATGCACAATGACATATAGGAACGCATTCCTTGCAATAACCGGGGTATTCCTGTAGTAACAAATTAATTGTTAAATTCTAAAGCAGTTTTTCATAAGAACTGTGGGGTTAGGTTAGGTTCCATGGATAACACATGTCAAAGCCAAGCTTAAGTTACCTGTACCTTGCCAGAGCCATTGGGCAAATTAGTTAATATCAGAATGCACAAAAACGGGGGGGTTTAAGTGTATGAAAGAAGGTATAGATGCCATTTGTCGGAAAAGGGGGAAGCTCCAGGCCTCATCCTCCTTGCATCCACCCTTGAGTTCCTATATAAAGGGAATATTAGTAAGAATGAATACATAGAATATAGATGATTTAAGTCCTGAGGCTGCTGGAAAGATGTACTGTATAGGGCAGTCCTTAATAAAGGAGTTGTTGCAAACTAACCAACCCTTAGTCTACACTACACACGTGTACAGTATACACACACACACCTCCATATGCGTGTATGTTACAGTCAAAGTGTGTAATTAGTCATTTCGTGAAATGACTAGCCATCTTGTGGAATGTAAACTAACTTAATCTAATTTTAACCTATCCAAACCTAATTTATCCTCTTCTTACCTGACCTAGCATAACTTAACCTAACATTTGATTGGTTAGGTTGGGCAAAACCAGTTTTGGTTAGGTTAAATTAGGTATCCTAATGAAACCTACCAAACCTATTCTAACCTGACCATGACTAACTTAACTAATCTAATGTTCAGTTAAGTTATGGTAAGCTAGGCTTGATAAAGCTAGTATACAATTGGTTTTGCAGGTTAAATTAGATTAAAATTGTTTGCATTACACAAGTTGACTAGTCATTACACGAAATGACTGATTACACACTTTGACTGTAACATATATATGGGCAGATGCAAGGGGGGGTCCTCGGGGTCCGGACTCCCCCTTGTCATCAGAAAATTTCAATGCTTTTTCTTAATACAGCATTGTACTCGGGCATTTTTGTATAGTAAAAAGTAATCACTATTGACCTCACAATATCTCCTAATATCAAGTGCACATGGCTTCAAAATACCCATAATAATGGTCAGATTTCTAAAAATGTGCTGGGGGGGGGGGCCTACAGCATCCCCCCCCCCACACCAAAAAAGCCCCCAGTTGGGTGGGGTCGTCAAGTTCTCTCATCCACAACTTCTTGGACCCCCCCCCCAACTTTTGATATTTCTGGATCTGCCCCTGATATGTGCTAGGGTTCTGCTGCTTGATTGTCATGCAGCAAGCTAGAAATAGCATTTATGGCTGAAAATGACTATATCTTTCTCACCGTCTCAGAGTACTGTACACATTGGAAACAAATATTCTTATTCATTACTTTTATCCACTGGAATATAATTTTCTACTTCTTATAAAGGTAATAAAAATTTACTTACAACTTGATAAACATAAATTTTGTAGGTGACCATAAAATCTGTGTGTTGTACACAAGGGAGAAATTAGGGGAAGAGGATGTATGGATCAGGTGTTTGTATTGAGGATTGTTAGTGGAAAAAAATTGGTTTGGGAGAAGAATGTTTGTGGTTTTTTTGGCTTATGCTACATATGGGTGGCATCCATAATTTTGTGTTAACTCTTTAAAGACGATTACCACAATTGTTGTATTACACCTGCCATGGTGATTCTTACAATTATGCCTTGACTTTTCCCATTTAATTTTTAATGTTTAGGCACTATTTTATGGGTCCCTCGCCAGCCTGGTAACTCTGTGTCTGACAGTGGTTGTACATTTAAAATTGTTTAACAAGTATAGTGTTGTGAGTGAAAAATTATCAGTCATCAGAATTATGCTGAAGATAATTATAGTAACCCCTTCACACATAAGCATTCTCTCACATCAAATACAGTACTGTATATTTAGTTAGACTAGTAACTGCTAAAAAATTAAGCTCAGTAAGATGGACAAATATAATGACATGACTCACAACAACGTAATGAATAAACAGAAGACCCCCACCACCTCCATGGATCACTACTGTACTTGAATGTGGTTTTCTCACCCAAAACTTGCATAGTGGTCCCATGGTGAGGGATGTAAAAGTTATAAAGTAGAAGAGAAAGAATGTGCATTACAGCACAGATTGCTTGTGTGTGACTTGTTATTTTAAATATACAGGGAAAGGGAAAAGGTGTATGTTCTGAGAAGGAGAATATGGATGTTGAAGGAACAGAATGTCAGGGAAGTATTTTATGCTGAAGTGAGAAGAGAGGAATCAGACAGCGACAGTGTGAGGGGTAGTGTGGCAAGACACGGGGGCAAAATAAAGGATGTTCTGCAAAGTGCAGCTGATGAGATGTGTGGCTCGACAAAGGGCCAGCTCGGCGTATAGTAACTGGGCGATAAAATGATGAAGTGGACCAAGTGATAAAGGAGAAAAGATGATTGTATAATGCCTAGAGGATGAAGATGGGTAGTGGCAAGGGGGAATATTTAAGGCCACATGCAGGGCCACTTGAGAGGTTTACAAGGCTCAAGTGTTAACAAGATGCATTTGCAGATATGCTTCATGGTGTGACTGCAAGAGGTGAGGTATACAGAATATTACTAGGTCAAACACAGGGCAGTATTGGTGAGCAGTGCATGAGAAATGACCATGTAATATAGTTGTTGATAATGACGAAATGAAGGAAACCTGGGGAAAGTAATACAATTGGCTGCTGAATGAGGAGTACTCCTCAGCTAAGCCATGACATATGGCTTTAATATCATAGTGACACACCAACAGTAAGTCTACTGCACTGTACATACAGTACTGCATATACATTTGAGGTGCTTTGCTTTTACAAGATTTGATTTTTGATGAAGTTTTAACTGGAGAAGAAATGGTAAACTCGTCAATTTAACCTTTTAATCTTTCCACTGACATCAGATCAAATTCAAAGATACTAAACGCATCAGCGCTCCCAGTCACATTACCTTGAATCAGCATCTTTGCACTGCTTCACCTAGTAATCCTGTGACCCATGATAACTAGAACTCCACATTTATTTTACTTAACTTAATTAACCACTCTTAATGCAATACAATACCGTATGTTGTTTTCAGTCTAATTGTCTTTATAAACTAATGAGATCTGGTACAGGAAGCCATGAGATGCCTGTGTCAGCACCTTATTACCTTCCAAAACTGTAAAAACTACAAAAAAGCAAAATTTTATTCATAACTTCGGATTTGTCTTAATTATTTCAAAACCTGGGACTTTATTTTTTTTTATTTTTAGGGTAACCTAGGATTATTGTAAACCAGATCTTAGTAAATTAGGGACTACCTTTACACAAAATAAAAACTATTAGCCTCTTCTTTACTGAAATCTTACTTCAGTATTTGGTACAGTTTCACCCAAAAGTTCGTTAACTCTCCCAGCCAGTTATTGCTGCAGTGCCTGCTTCAGATGTTTGAAACTGTCTCAGTACCAACCAGAACATGAAACTACGATGAATCTATAAGGTTCAAAGTAACAGACTCAAGTTCATACATCTGAAGCAAGCAGTGCATCAATAGCTGGCTGGGAGAGATAACAAACTTTTGGGTGAGGCTGTACATGTGCACTGCGTGCACAATTGTCCAAATCATACCTTGACAGCTGATCGTGAGCACATGTAACACATTAAGCCTTATTTTTACACCACGTGGTGGCAACACTTCTGCTACGTCAACAAAGTCTCGGGACAAACACTGACAAAATGAAATGTTGCGAATATCATCCAATGACCACCTACATCCATTTTTCACGCTGTCTCCTCGACCAATTATAATTGTTTTGAAAATTTATGAAATAATAACCCTACTTAGAGGTTTGATTATGTAGCTAGTTGATGCCATGCTAGTGGCCAGTATTCTCTTGTGTTTTATGCTGATGAGATGTCATTAGACACCTCGGATAATAAAGAGGAATTTTTACTGGAATGCAACGGTGATTATGATCCTGAAAAAGAGATAGATCTCAGTGAAGACAGTAGTAGTGGCAGCACCTCTGCCAGCAGTTGCCCACCACCCCCCTCCTCAAACCCCTCCTTCTCCACTCCTCATTTCTTGCTCGTATCAGACCCTTACAGATAAAAGACCAGATATTTTTTGCAAAACCTTGACATCACTCATATGATAAATAAACGTAACATTACTTTGTATGCTATAATTTTCATACATATTTATCCATTTCCCAGTACTAGTATATACAGGGGTAGTGAAAACTTACAAAAAAATTACTTTCCGGGGGGGGGGGGGTTGTATTACAATAAATATGTGGTGCCCACTTCCTGATTGCTTTGATTGTTCAGTAATCCCTTCACTACGATGTCTCTTTATCTATTTTATTCTGTCTGCTGCCAGACAATTTTGTTTAACTGGTGAAGTTCTATCTTGTAGACAAGGGATTAAACAAAATTTTCTTGATCTACAAGATGTAGATTCAAACATATCCATAATCTATTTGCTTATAAATGCCACCTTTTGCAAAGTAATACCTTACTTAGAACATGAATTCATCCCTTTCTCATCCTATTGTAACTAATATTTTCATTTGGCTAGCTCTAGACAACTACACTCAGCAGAGGAAACCCCATTGGTATTGTCAAAATGTTATCCTGCATTGTAATCTCTCCCAACTGATATACACTTTTCCTCCTCACCTCCAGTTCCCCATCTCCCATCCACAGAAAGGCACACCTCCTCCCCTCTCCCTCCCGATCACTAGTGAATGCTCCAAATTCACTCTTCAAAGTTCATACCTCAGGGAGAGAGAGAGAGGATTGGCAACGCTAAGTGGTAAACACGGGAGTGGAGCCAATTGTACATTGTACTGTAGAGTACAGCCAGCTGGCCTACCTGCTGCTGTCAACATGCATCTTAATCTGTAACCTACAAACTTCTGTGTTGACACTAATCACTGCTAAGTATTTAGTTATGATATTGAAATATATCTGAATAAAATCTTATATATTGAGAAAATGTCCTAAATATTTTACAAAGCAGGCAACAAGTGTACGAGTATGTGGAGAGAAGCTGTGGTGTTAGTGACTGAGAGAATGTCATTGCCACAATTTATAAATGATTTTCTACAGTGCTCTGTTAGTGCATCAGGCAAAACATTCCTGAAACATAGAGGATTGAATTAAAATTACCCAAGCAAAATTATGTTTACTGTAAGAATATTATCATCCTGTACTGTACTGGGATTTACTGAACAATAACCTTTTGAAACCGGTGGGTGTCTGATGTTGTGATGGATTTAATCTAATGTGACCAAATTAAAATGATATAATAGGTTCTGTTCAAAGAAATCATGTCTGTAGGATGTAGTAGGTATACTGAAGAGCTTATGGTATTGAAGGGGGAGTAAGGCAGTGATATACTGTATGGGGATGGAATTCAAAGGAGAGTAGAATTCGAATACAGTAATACCTTGGTTTACGCGGTTCTCGTTTACGCATTTCCACATTTACACGGTCCCTGCCAGAACCGGAATGCCCAATTTACGTGGTGCATCTACTCATATACGCGGGTGAAATATACATTTTTTATTTAGCTCATAAAATTCATACAAATTACCCGGCCAGAATATAATTTACATTGCTGGAATTCTTACAATATGATGATCATTTTAAATATAAACATCATGGATTTTGCATTAGACATACAAATTTTACATCTAATGAAAGAATTTTGTTTACACAGAGCAAATATGTTATCTTTTGTGTAAAATATATGACGTGTATATTCAAAATATTCCTGGTCTTGCAAGGAATCCAGCAATGTCAATTATATTATCCTAACTTTAGTCTGAGGTAATATTTATTACTAAACATTAAAATCTATTGTTTCACCCAAACATTTCTCAGAGAGGGAGGAGCCAGCGAGCGTGGGAAGAGGGGGTGAGTTGAGTCCATTATTTGATTGGACATTAACCTGGCGACTGTATTTCTCTTAAATATTAATTGTGTGTGCATACCATCATAAAATTAAGATGTTATTTTTACTACAACATAGGTATTGTGTCGGAAAAAGTGGAGTTTGGGAATCTGCCCAGTCTCTATTTCAATTAATCCCATATGTTCTGTTATTCCATTTACGTGTTTCTCGTTTTACGTGGACCGCGGGTTCAATTGACCGCGTAAATCCATAAATCGGGGTATTACTGTACAGAAAACACAAAGAAAATAGTAGTCTGGGCACCATAACTAAACCTATATGGTACTGGATTGAGTAACAGAATTAATACTTAAGGTGATGATTGCAGAGTAACAGAATTGATACTCAAATTATTTATGAACTTGGAAAAATAAAGTTACTTGTAGTGAGTATAGACTTTCTGAAGGCATTTGATAAAAGTGAACTTGAATACTTTCTGGGTAATGCTAAAATTATACACTTAAGACGAAAGATAAATATTGCAACGTCATTCTTCAATTGTAGAAAAGCATGTGATGTAGGATCAGTGGTCTCCAACCTTTGGTAGGCTCTGGGCCACATTTGTCATTGTATATATAGTGGAGGGCGCCAAAACTTTGGATCTTCATTCAAGAAAAAAGTCAAATATACTGTGCAGTTATTTGCAGTTTTACACATCTAACTGTTACCAGTTACATACTTTTTACATTTACTCTTTAACAGGACGTGTGTATTTATCCCAGTGAGAAGGCTGGCTCTCTCTGGGTCTGGTCTGGGGTAAATACGCACATCCTGTACACGATAGACTCTGAACAAACACGCAGCTCCTCTCTCTCTCTTTCTCTCTCAAACTATAAAGTTGTACCAGTTATTATGTACATATTTTCATTAATTTCACTCTTACAAAGAATCCCGAAAAATTCCAAATTTTCTAATAAAGCCTTGTGGGTTCCATAATACGGTTCTGTGAGCGACCACTGATGTAGACAGTAAACTAAGCGAAAATTTGGTTGTTGGAGTGGAACATTAATGGTTTTTGGCTTTCTAGTACAGTACATGTGAAGCTGTGATGAGAGATGAAAGCATACATTATTTAATCAGAGTGAGAGAAAAGATGGCATTTGAAAGAAGGTCTTGATATTTACTTAGTGTTCTTTTTGTTGATGATTTTTTTTTATTACTGACAAAAATGAAGAGAAGGTGTATTCGATGGTAAAAGATTTTGATATATTGATATAACAGATAGTAATTGTGAATATAGCAAACAGGTTTTTGATAAAATCAAACTTACATACCCAAAGAAAGCTAGACTACCTATTTGGGTTCAGTGCCAACTCATATTGGAGAGTAAGTTGTGACCTTACATTTTACTTTTATCCTTTTTGCCACTAATTGGCTCATTGGCCATTTGGGTGATTGGTTATGTCTCTGTTACACACTGTTGGCAAGTACTGTACTGTACTGGGCATGTACTGGCTCTAGAATGTACTGTATCTGTCTGTACTGTACTTGGTCCAGTGTTGGTCAAGTTTGGTCTCGAATGAGCTCACACTTGTGACTTCCTCAACCTTAAGCTGTGACCCTTAGTGGGGCAGGCATCCGCCAGTTCCAGATATGAACACATGACTGAGTAATGCCCTTTGAGATGTTTATAAACTTCAATTAAGTCATCCTCTGCCCATCTATAGTATAACGTAGGCAGTTGCAGGCATTCTAATTTCTCTGGGTAACTGAGGTGCCATAGTGCAGGCACTAGTCTGGTAGCCTTTTTGGACATTTTCAATCAATTGACAGTCTCTAGCACATCTCAAGGCCCACGTGGGGATGCAATCCTCTAAGCTATGTATTTGTAGCACTTATTTAATAGAACAATTTAATTATGTGCAAATCTCTCTTTAACTCCAAATATCCATAGTTCTGTAATCATTAAAAATTGATCCCATGCTCCTTGAACATTTTTAACTGGAAATGGCCTAAGAAGAAAATGGATAAACTTTTGAAGAATTTATATAAAGTCTTGGGACACCCTGTACATAAATGCATAAGAGAATAGAACACTAAATGGTAAGGGTCTGAACAAAATGAATGGGGTTACTGTAGATAACAAATAGATCAGTAAGAATATTATGTACACATCATTGCAGGTCCTCCTAAAGGTGAGAAGGCAGAGAGAGATCATTCAGGAGAACCAAAAGATGGAGAGTCTTCAACAAAACATGAGGAAGATTTCTTGGGATTTTCTCCATCTGCAGACAAAGTAAGCTCTTTTTTTCAGTCATGTAATTATAAATTCTTTCAGAAAAAATTGCATAGAAATAGGCTGAGCCTATTTCTCTATTTTCTGGTAAATTTGGAAAATTTTGAGCAATGTTACTTCTACAAAAAACTTTTTACAAGGTACAGATTAATAAAAGTGATGTTTGAATCATATCACAGAAAGTGATGATCATAATTGAAGGATATTAGTCGAATGAGGACAGTTAATGAAAAATAGTGACTACAGTTATGGCCAGGTTCTCCTCAGTAAAGATAAGAAGCAACAAAGTACCAAAGAATGTTTCAAGAGAGAGAGAAACAGCTGAAATCTCATTCTATAACCTAAGTCAGAATCTTCCAACTCTGTGTATTCATCGATTCTAAAAGGTCATGCAGTATACATCCTCAGATCCCAGGGCCCAAACTTGTGACTGTGATCTTAACCACAAGTACTGTACAGTACATTTATATAAATTATTCTTCACCTTTATTCTGGAGCCCTGAAGGATATCCACTTTCATGAAAATGACTTAACCACTCGTGTACATGATCCCTTCTGTGCTGAATAAAATCATCTGGCATTATTCAAATTAAATATTAAAAGTGGCATCCCCTTAGTGAAGGAATTTAAAGTGGAGAAGGCTTGAGAGGTTTGTTGTTAACCGAATGGAAGAAGTTTCAATCTGTTCATTTCTTGGCAGGCTACAAAGTGCTCAGACCTCTTCAAGTACCTCAGACACCAGTCCCCCCCCCCCCTTTACGCAGTCAGGATGTTTTGTTCCTGCTCTGACTCTATGGATACTAAATGTTTTCTTTGTGATATTTAACACTTACATATGGTGTTTTATAACCATTTGGTCTTGGGGACTATGTTGATGTTTAAATTGTCTTGCAAAAATGTGTACAGGTATAGGACCATTTATCAGGTATGCTTGGGACCTGGGGGCTTCCAGATAGGGTTATTTCTGGAATTTGGAGTGCCAGGCCAAAATGTACAGTAAACCCTCTGTAACTGACTGTGAAGCCTGTTCAGATTACTTGATTCACCCCTATAATTAGCTATACCTGTACACTAACATTAAAGCTTATAATTATAGGCATATAAACAGCAAAAACAAAAGCATACAAAAAGCAGTAATGTAAGTATAAACAGAGCAAAAATTATGCAAGTCAGTATACAGTACACACTGTATCACAGTTCTCGGGGATGCTGACAGCCTCGATGCTCACCTTTGTAACCAGCCTAGTTGGCTTTCCTAGCAACAGTGCTTTGCACCGTGGACCCTCTGACCTCCTCACTCTTTTCACACTGCTTCACAGTGGATACTCGTATACCTTATTATAATTAATTACTTATTATATTTATTATAGCTTTGCACTTTCTGTATGTAGGATTGTGTGTGCATGTAGGTGTGTAGGTGAGTAAAAAAAATAAAAATAAAATTATATACAGTACGCCCTGATAATTCACGGATTTTTATTTCGCGGTTGTCTATTAATTGCGGATGACACCCTGGATGTACCCAAGAATGTCTGTGGGTAGTTTTAAAAAAATAAAAATAAAATTATATACAGTACGCCCTGATAATTCACGGATTTTTATTTCGCGGTTGTCTATTAATTGCGGATGACACCCTGGATGTACCCAAGAATGTCTGTGGGTAGTTTTAAAGTTGCCGGCTTTTTCGCGGCTGGGACAGGGAGTCATTCGTTCAAGAGACAGTAATTTCCTTTACCTGTATTGTATATTTGTGTGTGTGTGTGTGTAAACACACGCACATACAAAACACATACAAATAGATAATAATGGGAAATTCCTCTCACAAATAATCAGAAACAAATGTAGTATTAAAAATGTTGAGTCTACCCTCAAGTCTATTCCGTGCTTTGTTATTAATAAAGCATAGAGTGGACTTGAGGGTAGAATAAACATTTTTTAATACTACATTTGTTTCTGATTATTTGTGAGAGGATTTTCCCATTATTATTTATTTGTATGTGTTTTGTGTGTGTATGTGTGTGTCTACATACACACACATATATACAATACAGGTAAATATAGGTAAAAGAAATAATTGCCCTAAGGGGGAATATACATTTTACATTTCTTTGTACACAAGGAAAAATGTTACCCCCCCCCCTGGTCAGGAAATGTTATTCGCTGATTTGGCGATTCGTGGCCATTTTGAGAACCTAACCCTGGCAAATTTGAAGGGCATGCTGTACTATATTGCATTCCCCAGCCTCACCTCTGTCTCCTGGATAAGTCTGATAAGTCCTCTGAAATGACTATTGTATGTCTCACATTCCTACCTGAGTATTTTCCTCCATTTTCTATTTTGGCACATAGGAGATTATGGTCCTAAGCTCCTCATATCTACTTGAACTTACGAGTTGAAAAATAACCCCAACACAACATAAAGGTCACTGGTGGAAAAATAGTTGGAAATTTCCCTGCTCAGCCTGGGAATTACTTGATGCTCATTTTAAATAACTAATTCTAGAACATAGCCAGTTTATGTAGCGTTCCAGATACCGGGACACCGAATAAATTGTCCCATACCTGCACTGTGTTCTAGACTCAAGTGTTCTGCTACTGGATGAGTTGGTTTGGGGATAACAACTCTCAGCATTAATTGTGATAAACACTTTAATGTATAATTCAGCCTATTTATTTGGTAATTGTGTAGTAGATGAGAGTCTGGCCCAAAACTTCTAAAAGGTGATCCTGGTTTGTTTTGGTGCAGGATATCAGTAAAGTTCCACATTAGATGATGTTGTTGGGTATCCCATTTTGAGGATATTAAATCATGCAGTAGTCTGTGTACTCTTATTTTAGGACTTAGTGTTTTCTCCTTTGTGTTTAATATGTTGCAAGATAGATTTGATAGTCAGCTGATTGAAATTGGGAATTCAGTCAAAGTAAGATTAGGTTGTAACATGAAATTTATAGCTTCGTCACTATCTGTTCAAGCATAGCATAATGAAATGTAAGTTTTATACAGTGATCTCTCCATTAGCCTGAATTCCCGATCCCCGGAACTCACCAATAACCGGAATTGAAATCGGCCCAGAAATTTCCAGAAAAATTCTCTAATTTTTTTTTAAATTCTGAGAAAATCTTTCCCAACTTCTCTGTTCTGGACCTGAGAGTCTATGAAATTGATCTTACAGGAAAACCATTAGGAGAAATGGCTTCATATTTGCTCTTTCCACAGTATTTCTTTCATTAGGCACCAAGACCCATCTGTTTATGATTATAAGCTACCGTGAAATTAACCTTCGTATGTTATGTGTGAACCCATCTTTTCTTACCTGTTTATGTTGTCACTGTAATATAAATGCACTTTGCTTGCAAGCTTATGTGAGATCTTTTTGCAGAGTAAGGCAGATGTGCTGATCAGTCGAGCAGATATAGCACAGGCCAATGCTATGGCTCGTCAGCTTCATGTGTTCAAACCCGGAATAGATTTTGTTCCTGGATCAAGATTAGAAGTGCTGGAGTCTCGGGATAATAATTGGTAAACTCTCTTAATAAGGCATATTGATCAATATCTAGAATGTATTTAATATTATTCCCAAGGTTGCTTTAATTCATACAGTATTAGGCAAAATAAGTATTTACAGTAAATTCTGCCTATTCCATGGGATTATATTTCTATAGATTCTGCAGAATTATAGTACTGCTCTTCATGTAGCAACATAAACAAATAATCTAGGGGCATGGTAGGCAAGCCCTGAATAAAGGAGTTTACTGTTAAGGTTAGCGTACTGTAAGCATGTACTGTGCCCACGGAAAGGAATGAGTTTTAATCCCCCCAAAATATTATGTGAACTGTATAGAGTTCAACCCCCTATTTTTTTTGCATAAAATTTGATCATAAAAGCTCTAACTATACTTGAGTGTACTGTGTAGTATATGATAACCCAATATATAGTCCTCCTGATAATCTGAATGCCTTGGCAAAAACAGTGCCGAGTGTGATTTCATAGTGGTGATTTCACGACAGGATGCTGTCCTGTAATGAGGAAATTAATGAATTTGGAAAACGTTCATACTGGTGCAACTCTTAAAAATTCTTTAATCAATGTGAAAATTTACATGAGAGTACAGTAGTTATATTCAAAAGGAATATATAGAACTTACAAAGAAGAAAAGAAATACAGCTTTGATTTTTACTGGATGTGCTTGGACAACTCTTAATATACTGTACATGTTATATTTCACAAAGTGGAACATAAGCCCAAATATTTTACTATTTGCTTTTAACATATGAGGCGCTCAGCGACACCCCTGCCAAAATGCATTTTCTGATGGATATCACTATTTTCACCCTTCCTCTACATGTTGGCATTGGATGAAACCCCCTAGCTAGAATAGAAATATGGTTGAAAGTCATTAAAAAATAAGGTGTGATTTTGCCTCGGGCCTGGAGCTATGTATCTGGCTGTGCGCTCAGTTCCAGAAAGTGGCAACATCCCGCTCAGAGCGAGAGGAGCACGCGCCAATGACAGTACGCCTCCCTCGGACCATACCCGCCAAGGCAGCCAATCACAATGGATTTCCTCTTGCTATGTCACAGCTCCTTGGCCAGTCCGTGCACCCAGATGCTGCCTCTTTAGTTTTGGCGTGTATTTTAGCATCAGAAGGTTCAGTGTACGTTCTGCTATTTTTGATAACTTTTCGGCGTAACATTGACATTATTCATGTTCCACGGGTGTGAGAAGTGCTGTGCAATATCTGCCCGATATTAGAGCAAGATTCAAGTGAGGCCAGGCCTTCTGGTGTGGGTTCAGGAGCCCATTATTCCTGAGCGTGTGTTTGACGCCAGTGCTCACGTGGACACCCCAGTAATGCTCGGTGATAGTGATTTTGGTGGTGAATTTAGTGTTGATTATGGTGATACAATTGCTACTGGTGATGGTGCAGGTAATGTGCATGATTGCAGAAAAAACCATACATCACGTTATGAACCATCGGAAGATCTTTTTAGAGACTGTGATGACCTACCTGTCGACAATAAAAGTGACTCACAGCATGATGAAAGTGATTATCATAATGACAATAACACTGAACGAACAGAGTAACTTTTTAGCGTGCTACAGAGCATCCGAAGAGCTTTTTGCCGACTTTGTGGTATGCATTGACGATGATAATGACGGTAAAAGTTAGCTTGAAATAGATGAAACTGAGTACTCATAATACAAAAAGTGACTGCTATGCATCACAAGACCTTTTTGCAGACTGTGATCCGGTACAGAATTACGTGACATGCACTGACGACAATAATGACGATGAAAGTGAAGATGAAAACGATGAAAGCGAGTCTAATGGTAACACAAACAGTGACACTAATGTATCACAACAAGAACATACAGACTGTGAGGAGGTAGAAGTGGACAGTGATGAGACATGCATTGACTTTGATAGTGATGAAAGTGAGCCTGACCCAACAAATGCTAGTGAAAGTGAGCCCATGCCTCAGTCTTATAATGAAACTGAACTGTTGCCGGCATCAATAATCAACGATTTAGTTGATGAAGAATCTATGTGGCAATTTTTAGAGAAGACAGAGAAAGACTTTGATCAGTACGTGATTGATTATGATGAGACCATTAAAGTTATACGCACTCCTCAGGATTTACGTAACTTCAACGATCTTCAAGGATAATGAAACAAAGGAACTAAGCAAAGTAAGATTGTAATACTATTATCATAATATTGTTTTTACCAAAGATTATGTAAACTTTCTCCACCTTTGCATTCAAATGTTGGGGGGGGGGGGTTGTAGGATTGGCAAATGAGTTTTTTATTGTTATTTCTTTTTTTTTCTTTTTTTTTAGGAGGGGGTGTAAGACGAGTGCTGTTTTCTGTGATTATTAACTTGTTTTACAGTATTAGCCCAAAATAATAAGAAAATTTTGCAGAAAAACACAATTATTGTTGGTTTGAAGATCAAACAACTGTACATCACGGGTAGTTATTCTCATTCAACTCGCGATAAAATAATAACTATTTACAGAACTAACTTCCAGTTTTTATTGTTCACTAGGAGAGGGATTGAGCTGCACAATAAAAAAAAATAACTCTAGCTTTAAAAACAAAAAAGTTATGGTGTTTGAACTTCGAAAAACTTTAAACGCGTTTTTCTCATTTTTTTTAATTTGGCGCTTCACCCCCTTCTGACGCAGAGCACCTCATATACTGTACCATATACTGTATATATATATATATATATATATATATATATATATATATATATATATATATATATATATATATATATATATATATATATATATATATATATATATATATATATATATATATATATATGTATGTATGTATGTATATATATATATATATATATATATATATATATATATATATATATATATATATATATATATATATATATATATATATATATATATATATATATATATATATATATATATATATATATATATATATATATATATATATATATATATATATATATATATATATATATATATATATATATATATATATATATATATATATATATATATATATATAAGTAGTACTGTAATACATGACCTCACTATTTTCAGGTACCAATGCAAAATTGTAGAAGTGGACTGGGGGGAACTAGACATCCTGGTTCACTATGAACGCTGGTCTAATCGGTTTGATGAATGGCTCAAAATGGACTCCACTAGAATTAGGCCAATGATTCGCAGTTCACTAAGGTGCTGTAACATTTATATTGCATAATAATGCATTATTGTAAATATGTGAAGATGATGTATATGTCCCAATTATTTTCTTTTTCCATGGAAGAAAGTAAGGTTCAGCTATAGTGAAACCCATTTTAAATAGTGGAAAACAGTTTTTACCTCATAATGTGTCTTGGGTGTTTGAGCATCTTGCATCATTACGATAATAATCCAACCTAAATCATTGAAGGGAATTTTTAATCATCTGGCTGTTCCTCCAGGGTGTATCAGTCAGGCATGTACCCAGATGTTTCAGAAAGAGTAGTCACAGAATTTAAAGCTCCTTATAGTCAGTTTATTTTAGGTTAGTCTGTCCTTAGTTATGTCCAAGACATCAGGTTGGGATTTAGTTGCAGAGTTTTATAATGATGATGATGATGATGATGAGATAACATCATCAATTTTTTAATGATTTTTTTATTACAAGTACAGGTACTTATACGGGCCAAATTTGTGGGGGTTAGGTTCTCAAAATGGCTGCAAATAACATTTGCAGACCGGGGGGGGGGGACATTTTTACTTGCGTACAAAGAAATGTATACATATTCCCTCTATGTGTTTGCCCTTAGGACAATTATTTCCTTTACCAGTAGTATTGTATGTGTGTGTGTGTGTAGGGCAGGGTGAAACTATGGGCAAGTTTCTTTACACCATTTGTCTCTGTCTACCCAGCAGTAATTGGGAACCTGGATGTTAATCGATTTGCGGACCGTATTCCGGGGTAACGGTTAGCCAGTGCAGTTGGCGAGCTGTCCCCTCTTCTCGGACTATTCCGTGACACTGGGTCATGCAGCTCATTAACTTAGGGTGTGGTTGTTGTGTAGGCGACAGCTTCTACACCTTAACAAATTCACGCCTAGGAGGCCCTTGGGCCGGTCATCCTCGATTTCGAGGGGCATCCATTAGATACACACATACATAAAACACATACATACAAATAAATAAAAATTGGAAAATTCTCTCACAAATACAGCTCCTCCCCGACTTACGACCTACTCTACTTACGGCCACCCGCACTTACGACCTGCCTCAGTCATACCAAAGTTTGGTCAAATTACGTATTTCGAGTCCCAAAGTCAGTACACAGACAAAATTTTCATTTGTAATTCACTTTAAAATGGCTGGCAAGCTTAAAAGTGAGTGTTTTGTGGTGCTGAGAAGAAAAAGAGACATCCATTTTAGATTTTCTGTGTACTGTACTGTATTATTTAAGCATTTCCGACTTACGACCATTTCGACTTACGACCTGGATTTGGGTCCCTAACCCCGTCGTAAGTCGAGGAGGAGCTGTAATCAGAAAAAAATTTATTAAAAATGTGAGTCTACCCTCAAGTCCATTTTCTATTACAGTACTTTATTAATAAAGCACGGACTTTAGGGTAGGCTGTCACATTTTTAATAAATTTGTTTCTGATTATTTGTTATAGGATTTTCAAATTATTATTTATTTGTATGTGTTTTGTGTGTGTGTCTGCACACACACACACACACACACACACATATTTACATTACAGGTAAAGGGAATTACTGTCTCTAGAATGAATGGCTCCCTGTTCCGGCCGCGAAAATGCCGGCAACTTTAAAACTACCCACGGACATTCTTGGGTACATCCAGGGTGTCATCCGTGAATAACCGAGAACCGCGAATTAAAATCCGCAAACTTGGGGGGCCCCCTGCACTGAGGACTAACTGCAAAATTTATGAGGTGATGTGAATGGTAAAAAGGCTGAGTATTGGTTAAAATGGCTATTAACTAATACTTCAACAAACTTACTGCAGTACTTTATTGACACGAACAATGTTTTACTTGAGAATCTATAAGGCTGGTTTTCTTACTGTTACCAGTGTTGGATTCTGTAGTGTGGCTTTAACCCATTTACTAAGAGGGACAGATAAGCCTACCTGTCTCATACATGAGAAACCTTGGTAAAGGGCAAGAGAAAGGATTGAGAGTGAAAGAAAAGACGTAAATAATGGAGAGGATGGAAATAGAAAACTGAAACGGGAAGAAAGAGGTCATGACATGGAGGACAGGGGAGGGTGTAATGTGGGGGTATAGGCAGATGAAGCAGTTACCATATAGGAGTGAGGGAGTGTGCACAGGAAGGTTATAAAATGTTTGATGAAGGTCAAGAGAAAGGGATAGGATATTGAGTGAGAGAAAGGATAGAAACAATGGAAATGATGTAAAATGGATACCACCTGTTGGAATACTTAAGAAAAAATGGATGAGTTTAGATGTGTGGGGGGGGGGATTAAGCAAACAGTTGTCTGTTGCAGGTAAATACATGCACACACATGCACAAGCATACTCGCTGGTATGTCAGTGTGAAGAAGTAAGATGAGAGATAGAAAGATTGATTTAATATGTTTATTATGAAGCAATCAGGCAGAAAGATCCCTGGGTACATAGATAAATCAGAAAGTTAGAGAAAGAGAGATAGAGAAAAATATCTAGTCTAGCTTTATATATGAGGTTTAAATTATATGAGTCGACAACATAAATAACGTTTGTGGCTCTAAGTAAGAGTTGAGATGGTTATGACGTAAAGGTGGTTTGTCATTAACAATTGCACGCAGTAAACCATGACATCGACAGGTGTGTCATTGTTGTGAATGATTTAAGTTTGGTGAAGTGCTGCATTAGTGCTTGGAGCTCATTGAGACCTTGTACTTCCCTGTATTAGCTGGCTTATGTATAAGTTACCTGAGATCAGCTCTAAGTTAGAAATTAAGTATTATACCTGAAATCGGAGAAGCATCTTGACCCTAGGCTGCATTTAGTGGTGGGATGTGACCCTCCTCACCCAACTGGTGTTGCTGGCTGGTGAATTATTGCAATATGTGTTGGTGGTTACAAAAAAAAAAGGTGAGGCTGCACCTACATCTGGTGTAGCTCATCCTCTTTTTGGGTCTTTGATAAACCACAGGGGCTCCTTGTTCGGTGGCTTCTGCTGGTGTAGGGACATTGTTCACTTGTCTGGCATCTACCACTTGTTGCATGTCAGAGTCCAGATGTGTCTACTGGACCATGTTCACTTGTCTGGCATCTACCACTTGTTGCATATCAGAGTCCAGATGTGTCTACTGGGCCACTGTTCCTCTGCACCACATGTATGTTTGATGATATGGAAAGTGGATACAGCGCTCGCCTCTTGTCCTTAGGGACATTCTATTGTTTCCGGGGTGTTCGTAGTCCACCTAGCTGTAAAGGGATACCTAACCATACAAGTTGGGGAAATAAAAGAGGTTAAATACAGAGCCAGCCATGTGTAATGAATGCTTAGTATACAGTGTGCTGTATCCACACTGTTCCTAATGGGCAGTCATACTTATTGAACCTTCTTTTTTCTTCTTTCTGAGTTCAGATGACTCAAATTCCATCCTTCCTCTCATTGGGGTGGCAGAGTGAACTGGAACCGAGACTTATGGTCTTGCTTTGTTGGTTTTTAACAGAGCCAAAATGGAATAGTATCAAGGAGCATGCATGCTTATGTGGCATTGGAGACTCAACCTTCTCCATTTAGGGGGAACTGCCATACTGTCTACCTATTGAGGAACCTGGTATGGTTAGAAAGGTTTATCTAATTTTTAAATTACTTTCTTGATTTTCAGAACTTCAGTCTTAAGATTCATATCCCTAGAAACCTGGTTTCACCCAATAGACCTGCTGACTATCTTGAGTTGCCTGACCTCAACAGAATGAGAAAATTAAATTTTTAGTCAAATCTTTCATATTCCTCTTGAACTTCAAGGTTTTCATCTTCATATGTTTATTTATATTTAATAAAAAAATTCATATATTTCTGTTTTTACTTTCTCAAAATTTTAATTTGTTATCACTTCAGGAAAGATAGGAGGAGCAGTCATTTTCGTGTTGGAGATAAAGTAACTGCACGTTGGGCTGCTGATGGCAAACGCTACCACGCTCGAATTACTAAATCATTAGGAGATGGTAAGTGACTCTTTCTGCGGAGTGATACTGGTGTAAAAAAATCATAACTAGTGAAACCATTTTCAGATTATCAGCTTTATAAATCTTTTCCCTAATTACATGTCCAGTTTTCACGAGTGTTTGGTAAATCCGAACAAACTATTACCTGGGCAACATTAATATCAGGTAAGCTACACGTTCATTAAAAAACACTACTGTATATACAATATACCATTTTCATTAATAGTGGATGAAATGCAGGTATGCCTCACTCTACAAATGTTTGTTATATGAAAATTTGCTTATTCAAAATTTTTATTCTTTGCACCTCTTTCTTACTATCTGAAAGAGATATTTGCTTGTGGAAAATGGTCCAATCGAAAATTAAAATCACACCCGCCAGACTCGGTCTGGGAGTCAGCTGAGTCACCCCCCTCCTCCGACATCCCCCTCAGCTTGCATCATCTCACACACCATTTACTTAGTGTTCAGTAGAAGTGAAATGATCTCTTTCTCTGTCTGTATTCGTGCCATCTTTTAATGTCTGTACACAATGGCATTACAGCAAGAGACTCCACAAACCTGTCATAAATGAAACCAAACTTCCTGAAAGAAGTTGAGCATATAGCTAAATTTGATCCCATTTTGAAACAACACATTCAACAGATTGAGAGTGGAGTAAGAACCCACACCACCAATCTTGGCAAAACAATTCAAAATGAGCTCATTGAATCAATCAGTGGGAAAATCATAGAAGGAATTGTGACAGGTAAGAAAATCAGGGTGCTACTCACTTATATTGAACTGCATGCCTGATATCAGTCACCAAGAACAGATGTCAGTCATCTTAAAGACTAAAAGATACCCCACAAGGTGGGAACAGCTGGCAAGGCAAGGTCGAAACTTCCTGAGGTAGTAAACAAAGACTACCTGCCTGATCTTATACTTGCACACCCTTTAATGATATGATTCATTACTTATCTTCCTGAAGCAACTGAGCTCAGTGGATGCATTCAAAAGCAACTAAAGCCCCTTTTTTAAGGGCTGTAGTGTCAGTGGTCTTTTGAACTACATGCTGCTGCTATATTTGTACTGTATTGCTTTTGTTGATCTCTTGGATATTTCTATATACTGAGTACAGTACTAGTGTACTTTTTCCTTAAAAAAATAAAAAATGAAACAACTAATATAATTTCTTAATCGGTTAAAACAGTAAGTGACATTTCTATGGATAATTACAGATCAGTATGAGGTCCTGTTTTTTGATGGAGTGGCAAAAATTCTTCGCTCTGGAGCACTTACAAAAGTCATTTTGCTTTATTCTTGTAAATAATTTACTTTTGTTTCATCATTACTAATTTTATGTATACTAGCTACTTTTTTATTTGTATTTATGAAAAAAAATTACTTTTAAGTATCAGACATCTGCACATCCAGACTGTCACAAAAGGGGGGTTTCTTTCAATTCATCTATCCAACTACTGTTAACCAATTAGTAGGGAAGGCGTTGTAATTATATTTAATTTTCTCCTTTCTTTCTACCTTCATCTCTTCTTTTTGTTATTTCTTTAATTGGTTTTGCTTTATTTTCCTCTTCAAACTTTCTTTCTTTCAATTTCTTACTTTATTAATTCTTTATGTTAACTATTTCTGAGTTACTTTTCTTCTCATAGATTCAGAGGGCCCCCCAAATTCGTGGGGGTTAGGTTCTGAAAATGGCCGCGAATCGGCAAATTGTGAATAACATTTGCTGATGGGGGGCGGGGGGGTGCATACATTTTTACTTGTGTACAAAGAAATGTATATGCCCTTTATGTGTAGACACACAGACACAAAACACATACAAATAACTAATAATGGGAAAATCCTCTCACAAATAATCAGAAACAAATGTAGTATTAAAAATGTTTAGTCTACGCTCAAGTCCACTACAGGTACAACATGCCCTTAAAATTCGTAGGAGTTTGGGTCTCAAAATGCCCACAAATTTACAAATCTGTGAATATCATTTGCTGACCCGAGGGGGTTACATTTTCATACAGTGAACCCTCACTTTACGCGGTTAATTCAACCCACGGCGGCGTAAAGTGAGCAACATAACATATGGGATTAATTGAAATAGAGACCGGGCCGACCCCCAAACTCCACTTTTTCAGACACAATACCTACGTTGTAGTAAAAATAACTTCTTAATTTTATGATGGTATGCACACACAATTAATAATTAAAGAGAAATATCAATAATATTAGGTTTTTTAACACTTACATTAGTAGAAAAGATGGCTGGGCACACGGGGATGGGGGGTTGGTTCCGAGGCAGAGGGCAGATTATTGGCCCTCACTTGTATCACTTGTATCAATTGTATCACTATCCACCACAGAGGCTTGCAGGGCCTCTTTGTCAAACCCCTCAAAGTCCATATAAGTCCATATCCTCACTATCATTATCACTATCACTGACTTGGGCCGGCTGTGGTGGGTGGCGGGTGAAGAACTCGGAAATGTTTTGATGACTGGGCGACCTTGTGCGCACCCTGCTCGCGCCGCTCTCCGCGTAAAAGGGTACACACACCGCGGAAAGTGAGCGTTCCGGTTTCGGCAGGGTACCGCGTAAACGTGGAAACGCGTAAAGTGGGACCGCGTAAAGCGAGGGTTGACTGTACATAAAAAAATCTGAATTTTCATTCATTATTTTAAATATACAGTCATGCGCCGGTTAACGTCCTAGATACGTTCTTGGAAACATGACGTTAACCGAAATGGACGTTGTCCGATCATCACGTAAACTTTTTATTTATACTTACGTGTATGTGGAATACTATATACGTACATATACACTTTTACTCTTAAATCACTACTGTAATGTGATACAGGTGATTAATTTTTATCTCTTGTGCAAAATACATGACGTTTATATTAAAATTATTCACTGTTTTACAAGGATTCCAGCAACGCCAAGCAGATGGGGGAGAGAGAGGGTGGGAGCGAGCGAGGGGGCGTGGGGGGAGGGGAGGTAGTACGTTTGACAGTTGGCACAGGCCCAGGTCTAACGCATGTATATTTATCAGTTCTTAAGTGACTAAGCTTCTCTCTTATAAAAAGCCAGTGAAATGACCTGGGTGAATATAATTAACATAGCTGGGATTCTTGTAACATACTGATTAATTTGAATATAAACATGCTATAATTTGCACTAGACAAAACAATTTTAGTACCGTAATCAAATTAGTACATGTGCACTCCAGCTTTGCACTAAGGTCATTTATTTCTATTACGTTTCTTTTAGTATGGTGTGTGCATGTAAATGGATGAAAATAAATGAAGAAATCTATGTAAATCTACCCAAAAATACAGTTGAAAACTTTTTTATAAAATGTACTACAGTACTGTACACTAATGTACAACAATTTTTATCTCTTGAGCAAAATATATGACGTTTATATTCATATTATTGGCTGCCTTGCAAGGATTCCAGCAATGCAAATTATAATCTCCTAACTTTAGTCTGAGATATTATATAAGATAAAAACTGTAAGCCTGAAAGCCTGGCTGGAGGGGGGGGGGGGACTGACGGCTCCACCACCCAGCGAGGGGCTGGGGGGGGGCGTGGTGGGGGGGTTGAGGTGATAAGTTTGAGGCGAAGGTCTCTGTGTGTTTATTTAACAGTCCTACTAAGCTTCTCTCATTTTAAAATGCCAGTGATATGACCTAGGAGAATATAATTAACATTGCTGGGATTCTTGTAAGATACTGATTTATTTGAATATAAACATGTTGTAATTCGCACTAGATATAACAATTTTAGTACCGTAATCAAATTAGTACATGTGCACTCCAGCTTTGCACTAAGGTCATTTATTTATTTTACATTTCTTTTAGTATGGTGTGCGCATGTAAATGGATGAAAATAAATGAAGAAATTTATGCAATTCTACCCAAAAATACAGTTGAAAAACTTTTTATATAATGTACTACAGTATTGTACACTAATGTACTACATTTTTTATATCTTGAGCAAAATATATGACGCTTATATTCAAATTAATCTCTGTCTTGCAAGGATTTCAGCAATGCAAATTATATTATCCTAACTTAAGTCTGAGATATTATATAAAATAAACATAAAGAAATCACTAATCTTTTGTCTGGGAACACAGGAGGGTGGGAAGAGGGGGGGGGAGGGGGCGGGAGGTGAGGTGACAGAATGTCTGGCGTTTGTTTGTTTATTTATTTGAGATAAGATTTGACAGTTGGCGCTGAAGGCCTGCCTACGTGTTTATTTATCATTACTTAAGAGTGACTAAGCTCTTCTCATAATTTGCCACCCAAACGACCTGGGTGAATATAACTTACATTGGAGGGATTCTTGTAAGATAGTAATTTATTTGAATACCTGTATAAACAAGCTATATTTGCAATAGACATAACAATTTTAGTACCGTAATCATTTAGTACATGTACAATACAGGTTTGCACTTAGGTCCATTGTTACTGCACAATATTGACTAAATTCACTAGATAACGTATGCCTGGCCACACAATCTATAAGAATACGCGATGCATATGTGACTGTGCCCGCTCTAGGTCCATTTCGGTTCGCTAGGTCCCATTATTTGAATGTTTTTTTTTCAATTTAAATTTGAATTGTTTATTCCTTGATAGAGGAAGCGGGATCCTAGTGCTGTCACTTGGTACCCCTGTACCATAACACCAGAAGCAACTGGCCAGTGTCACAAGTATATACAGTACAGTACAATCATCCCTTGGTTATCCCGCCTAATTGGGACCCCGCCGATAACGAAAATACAGAACCTATGGGATTTATTCTAATTGGTTCCAGGCACCCAAGACCCAACCCCAAGTTTCCCATTTTACGACCATTTAGACCCACTAAATATATATATATAATGTTATGGTAAATATCATAAACACACATAGGCATGGCTAGGTTTATTACAAAGTGATGAAAAGGGTACGCTTAATACTGTAGTCAAACATGTAGCTATGCTTTTTTTATTTGGTCCCCCGTCATACGAGTCCGTTTTCTCTCACATCTGGACGCCTGAGTCCTCCGTTTTCTCTCTGAGTGCACCAGAAACTTTACTATTTTTAGTAATGCCACAGAATTTGAAATTGCAACCCTAATTGCAACTGGGGTTGCAATTATTGAGGCAACTAGATATGTCTGATTACAGCAAATGTGTTATTGTCAATTTGTAGGTGAAAGATTTTATCCTCAATAGATGTAGGTTAACATTTCACCTGTAGACAAATGCTTAAAAAAAGCCTAAGTAAGGAAGCATATTCCTTTAACACATAATATCTGACCAGCATGGGGAGGATCATCGTGTCTCCGTCAGGGGGTCGTGGAGTGGTGGTCCAGCAGGCGTCACTTTTTTTTGGGGGGGGGGGCACGGACGTATATGCGATCGGACGTTGTTCGGTTGGACGTTAACCGGCGCATGACTGTATATAAAAATAGAGTAACACTAATCATTCTGTGCTGGCTATGTGTGTAGAGCCTGTCCCTCTCTCCCCTGCCACTGATGAATATCATGATGAAAATGATAAATATGATGATGAAGTTTAAGGCAGTGTAGTTACAAGTGCTCCTCATCTGCCTTATCGGCATTGTAAACCTGCTCGGACTTGTAGCGCTTCTCCCGGATAATCTCAACAAAGATCACAGGATACTCCCTTATTGCTACATTGTTCGCTGAGGCTGAATCACCAGTGATGCTCGAATTGTGCAGGTTGTAGCGCTTCTTGAAGTTCTCAAACTACCCCTTACTGGCATTAAAACCTTTCTTTGTAGTATCACCAGAACCACCGGCACAAGAACCATATTCACCATTCACTTCACATTCACCATTCACTTCACCTTCACCATCTTCCTCAGCATGGAATCAGTCATACAGGACCTTGGCTTTGTCACAGATAAACTTTTGGCTGAGAAGGATGTGGCAGTAGTTAAAGTCCTCAATCTAGATGTTAAAAGCTTTCTCCATCTTCGCCATAGCTGTGTCCCTCACATTAGCAGCTACCTTGGCAAAAGAGGGAGCACTTAAGGCAACGGCATTATGATGTAGCAGACAGTTGACTCATTGATGCCAAACTCGTGGCCACATGCAGCAAAACTCTGGCCACTCCTATGTTTGTCCAGCAGTTGTATCTTCTCCACAAGGGTCATGACCTTCATTTCTCTCTTCGCTTTTTTTGACACCTTCCCGCGGCTTGATAAAGGTGGTTGAAGGCATTTGGGAGCCATCACAAGCATGAGGAGCACAGTTATTAAGAGAGCAGAGAAGCACAAACATGAGACGGACAAGTGTTTATCCCCAACTGTGGTGGAGTGTGTGCATGGCCCAGCCGCCTGGGACAACAGAGACACCTTGCGGGACACCACAAAACTCGCATGTTCCCTGTCCTCGGCCACGAATATGCTGCCAACTTTAAAAGTACCTGCACATATTCTTGGGTACATCCAGGGTGTCATCTGTGAATAATCGAAGGCCGCGATTTAAAATCCCGCAAATTGTTAGGGCATGCTGTACTTTATAACTTGTAATAAGAGGAATGTAATAGAGGATGTGAAAGCCTGCAGCATATGATGTATCTTCCTAGTATAACTTATTAATATTTCTTTTATCAACATCAGACTATTTATTGTGTTTTTGCAATGCCAGACTTTTATATCCAATAGTATATACAGTATCGAATTTGTTTTAAGGTTTTAAGTTTTGGTACATAGAACTAAAATAGTATTTAACAGTTTTCCCGAGGCACAAATGAGATGGGTGGAGAAACAGAGAGTCCCAGTACTAGTAGTAGTCCCAGCAAGCAGTTTGGACTAGATGATGAGGAGATGATGCTACTGTCACCTGCGGCTACCACTGCCAGCTCCACAGATTCACGTTCATCGAGTCCAGAGCCAGACCAACACTCAGCAGATACCATTAAAGGTTTGTTGTGATGACTACGTACATTATTATTATTTTTTATACATACAGTATTGCAATGGACTAGGGGAGGTACACAAGTCAGTTTGCCCTCTGAAAGCGAGACTCCTGATAAACGTGGCTTACTATAACAAGAATAAGAAAAATTTAAATAAGTGTTTGGCTGTGTAAGAAGACAAGAGATGGCATGTTCAAAGAGCTTTAGCTTATATGTTAAGTTAGATCAGCTTAGGTTAGTCGCAAGATGCGAGCAAGAAGAAAATTTTATGGTTATGAAATAATGAGGAGTGACGGACAAGATTGAAATGAGGTGCAGTTAAAGGAAATTCACATAGAATAGGGATAGCTGCAATGGATTTAAAAGGGGGTAGATGATGACACAGTGACTGGAAATAAGGTAGAAAACAAAAAGTGAACAGATGAATTATTATCTAATACAGAGGGAAGATATGGAGGAAGTGAGAGGACTGATTACTGTTGAGAAAATTTGCTTTGGATTGTAATTTGTCTAAGTCATGGATAGGATACTGAAGTGCCACCCTATATATGAAAGCCTTAGTCAATGTGCAGAGAGACATGCTTATTGTAATGGTTAAGTTATTCAGGTATAGAGTACAGGGAAGCTGATAAGAGGATATCTGTTTTTTAATAATGTTTAGTGTATAGTTTGGCATTAAGTTATTGTGGATAATTTATTTTACTAGAAGAGGAACTGTCAGAAGTAGAAGCAGTGACAGCACCCATAAAGAAGAGTATCTTTGAGGTAGAAATCATTGATCAGAAGAGAAAACCCAAAAGAAAAGCAGCTGTTGAGGAACTCTTTCAGTCTCTGAAGAAGAAACGAAAATATGAGGTAAGAAAAATTTGAATCAATTGTAACAAATCATTGTATCCTTTACTGTATATGGTAAACTCTCCTTGAACTGCATTAATCCCCTACCTCCTACCTGGTCATATGTGCAGCATTTTCCCTCCCAATTTTATTTCTCTCTTTAAACATACAGAGAATATGATTACAGCTGTGTATTCAGTGAACAAATCTTCTCCATTTCATAAGAACATTTTAAGATTTACACATTTTTAAAACCCATATATCTCCCTGTCAAGACAGACAATTTACATAAAGAGCCAACCATCAATTAAGGGTTGAGATAGATACAGTATTATCAGATCTTTGCTTAAAAATCAAAGTTCTGTAATTTATATTTCCTTTTTATGGACCTCTTTGTCACAAAGTGTTTTACCCTGTGAATGTATTTGACCAAGATACTCGTGTGATCTCTCCTTGTGATTTTTTTTTACCAAAAATCATCAGTTGATAATTACTCAGGCTAACAGAGCAACACTCCCATTACAGAATCCAAGTATAATATTTATTAATGCCAACAGTACAGCCTGCTTAAAAATTATATCAATATTGAAAGTGGTATAGGTTATGATGTCTGTCACAAGGACACTTCCTGCTGTTAACTATTATTGTATATATTTTTCTTTATTTTCCAGTTTCATGGAAAGAAAGAAGATGTTCCAGTGTCTCCAAAATATCCACACACTTCCCGCAGTGCTACATCATCACCAAGATACCAGCATGCAGTTCGTTCCACCCAAGCAAGGAAGACTTTAACCTCTAAGAAGAGGAATCGTGATTCTATATGTGGCATTGAGGAAGAAGGACCATCAATGAAGCAAGCTGAGGGTTCATTCTCCGGTGATGTTCCAGAAAGTGCTACCTGTGATAGCCCCTTACCACCCCAGTGTGAGTATTTAATATAATGTGTGAAAAGCATGAGTTATTAACTGATACAGTGGAGAAAATTAGATTTTTTCTGTACTGTAAACCCTCAGCATAACAGACTACGGTAACTGGTGGGACACCATGGTCGCTAAAGCCACAGTTCTGTTAAAACTGATGTCTGATAATGTCCAATAATCCCAATAAACATTTTGTTAACCAGAGAGAAAGTATGATAGGCCGCTCCGCATATTGCTTTGAACGCGTGGCCAGTGCTGTAAACATCACCTCCATTGTGCTCCATCGTGTGTTCACAAATTGCTGCAATATATAATACAGTTTAAGTGTACTGTACAGTATACTTAAGTGTGGTATATAAATGTAACAGTGAGTGTACAATACTGTGATTTAATAAGTGTGTGCAATTGTACTGTAAGTACAGTATTTACAATCACACCCTTCAACCAGTCAGTTAAAACAATACTTCCAGTATTATTACATTATTCAATTTGGTTACCATCATTATACCAACATCATCTGATAATTTCAACATTTCTGTAACTATTCCAAAACTACCAGCAACCATTCCAATCTATTCTGTTAATAGTTTTCTTTGCCCATTCTCTTATTATCCTTGGATATGTTTCTTGTACTGATTCTGCTACTCCGAGGCTGACCCTATCCAATTAAATTTTTCGTTCAACAGACAATAGTACTGTTTTCTCCAAGCATTCTTAATTTTCTCTTATTCAACAACCATATTTCCATAGTCATTTCTCATATACAGGTTGACAATCCCTTATCCGAAATCCTTGGGTTCCAGAGGCATTTTGGATTTCGGAATTTTTCGGTTTTCAGAATTTTTTTTTTTTTTTGTATTAGCCTACCGAAGCATAGATCACTGACCCACATCGGGGCCTGGGGGGTGAAAATATAATAATAATAATAATAATAATAATAATAATACGTAATAATAATAATAATTCTTAGGTTTAGGTCGCGTTTCTCACTTTTGACCTTTTTTTCATTCTTGTATTTCTTTATTATTATTATTAATTTTGTTATTATATTTTATTATTATTATTATTATTATTATTGTTATCATTATTAATTTATTTTGGTGTACAGTATTTTAATTACAAATCTTATTTACTATGAATAATTATTATTATTATAATTATTATTACGATTACATTTTTGCCCACCAGGCCCCGATGTGAGTCAGTGATCTATGCCCGGATGGGCTAATCCCGGTTTAAAAAAAAAAGAAAAAAAAAAAAGCCCCACAAAAAAAACTTTCGGTTTTCGGAATTTCGGATAAAGGGTTGTCAACCTGTACTGCTCACCACCTACATCTTTGGTTCTACTCACTATTTGCCTTGCTATTCTTTATACCTCATCTTTAGCAGCTACACTATTCACTTTATCCACAGATGCATTCTGTTCATACTTCTTGACCTTGTAAATCTCTTTCTTGACCTTGTACTTGGCTTCCAGGTAAACTTCCTTATCACCTCCCATCTTCAAGGTCTTATGCAATCTTCTTTTCTGCTTAACATATGTATTTATATCAATGTGTATTTTGCAGCAACTAACCTTGTGACTGTAGAACTAGAAGATGGCTGGAAGAAGTGCTGCACTCGGCGCACCCATGGGACAACTGCGGGCAAGTGGGACATGTTCTATGTTGCGTAAGTTTCAAACACTGTGCAGTACAGTAGTTCTTAAAAAGAAGATACTGCGATATTAAATTAATCAGAGCCTTCAGGTCCACCATTTTTCAGTAGAAATTCAAACTGTAAATCTGAATTGAAGTGATTAGGACTTAACCCACAGTCATATAAGCCTTAATTTGATTTTGAATGGAAACGAGTGAAGTGAGACACTTAGTTTACAAAAAAAAAAAAGACTAAACTCTGATCTAAACCAATTTTGCTTAAGAAATATTGAGGAAACATTGATTAGTCTCTGAAAGATTCATACCGGCTCAATACAGTGGCATAGTTCTCTCTAGATGAGCAAGTCTCACATGATTTAACATTCTATAATCAATTTAACCCTTTAATAACAGTTATCACACTTTCTGCATTTTTACAATTGTCGGTAATTGCCCTTAGGTCTACATCTGTAATCTGCATGCCAAAATTCTAAACCACCTATTTTTAATTGGGAACTCCCAGTGAGTCCAAACATCTAAGAAAAAAACACACACACACACACACACACACACACACACACACACACACACACACACACACACACACACACACACACACACACACACACACACACACACACACACACACACACACACACACACACACACTCACACACACCTCAAAGTGGCAAGTAAGTGGCACCATTATTAGATATGATACTGCTCCCAATGGGGTACAGTATTAGCTAAAACAGTCCACCACAATTCCAACTGTTACCTGCACCATTAAGGTTAGTTTGTGTTTACAGCTCTCTCTGATCAAGGGGAACAATTCCTTGGCAAGACCATGATTGAGGAATCTATGATTGGTAAACTCATTACTGTATAACATGATGGAATTAGAGATGTATTCCTGGACCATCTAAACCTTACCCCAGAAGTCCTATACTGTACTGTATTCACAGACCTGTTCACCTACGAGCTACATAAAGTTTTTAATACAGATCAGACTGGCTTGATTTAGAAACACATGCCTAATTGAACTGGTAATAATCAAAATTAATTGTCTGTATACAAAGAGAAAAGAGAGTACCCTTACCTCACAAATCAATTTATTTTTCTGATATAAGGATACAGTATAATGAGGGTATCTTCTCTACCCTATTCCAGAAGAAAAATTTGCTTTACTGTCGCTCAGTTGTGGCTTAAGTAATAAGATGAATCTAAATATTTAGCATGTGGTAGAGAGCATGTACCACTCCATTAACTCCTGTAATAACAAAACATGAATTTATCTTATTTCCTTAAAGACATTGTTTCTAACCATGTTGTGGCAAGTACTGTATCACCAAAATTAGATCACGGTAGTATGAACTGTTAATTTTGGGTTTCATGATTATATAATGATTCTTTTCTTTCGTCCAGGCCAGAGGGGAAAAAGATCCGCTGTAAAAATGATCTCCATCGGTACTGTGAAGAGTTAGGACTTCCTTTTGAGATAGAAAAGTTTGACTTTTCTGTAAAAAATATGAAAGGTAGGTCATGCAGATGATGTATTACGAGTTATTTGATGTGATTTTGCTAATAACTGTTCACCCTTAATTTGAAGTGATTTTATGACCTATTGTTTTTCACAATTGACCAGTGAGAAGATATTTTAAAAAGGGCCCATACTTTTACCCCTTGTGTACAGGATCCCCTCTGAGCTGATTGAAATCATCTGGCATCAGCCATATAAAATTAAAAGTGGTGTCCCCATAGTGAAGGGGTTAATAAGACATGCATTCTCCAAACTGACAATTTAGCAGAGGACTCTTTTTCACACAATTTATTCAGGGTCAGTTAGATCCCATTGAACTTGCAGTTAATTCAAAGTCCAGTCGAAAGTTCTGTATGGTACTAACATAGCAAATACAGTACGACTATGGTTGGCCTAATCTAGTATCAAAGTCATTACTTCATGATTGATGCTAACTTTAAAAACAATATTTAATTCCACTATATCTCAAGGCTAAAAAATCCAAAATTCAAAAATCATAACACTCAAGAATCCACATGGATTCAGATTTAATGGATGTGCATAATTTTGTGAGTTTCACAGCTCTAAACTTTGTGCATGCCCACCATCTATTTAGTCACTTTCTCATGGCCTTTAGCATCATTGTGAAGGGGACGTGACTATCATAATTATTTTTAAATTCAGAAATTTTACCTTAACAATGGCTTCCAAGAAGGGATCAATACCGGGTAATTTGTAAAACTTGCAATAGTGTGGCCAGGAAGCATTATACTTTTGATTTCATGCAAAAAGCTAAACATTACAAAAACTAGACAGGAGTGTCTTAGCATGCAAAATTGCTGAACATCATGGTGTTGGGAATCAAAAGGCAGGGTGACAAGATTTTAAAATTGTGTTAACAGTGTAGATAGGTGGATAAACTTTGATCAGCTCAGAGAGTTGCAACCCTGCCTTACCAGCTAAGAGTGAGCTTAGAAGTCCTATGCTATAATGCCTAGCTCTCACTTTGTTAAAATAGGTTGACAGCAGGAAACTAAGAATGGCATTCACTTGTAAAACTTGCTTCAAATTTGCCAGATGACAACTAGGACACCATGCCATTAGGTAATCATGGCTAACCCAGGCAAGCATGGAAAATAGCCATAGCACAGTGATGATGATGATGATTATGATGTTGATGATTTAATCCTATCATATCCCTCTCAAAATCATTTACTGTAATTGTTTAATTTTTTTAATCTTGTGTTTACATCATAAATAAAAAGTTATATACAGTATACTGTACTTAGTTACATGTCATATATATGATAAATCTAAACATGCATTAAATAAAACAGGTGCCTTAATGGTATATTATTTTACACTCAGAAGATAAATATACTGTACAGTAGTTGCATACAATATGTTAAATACATCCCTCTCTTTATGTACTTTTAACTCTCATCATTGAAATTGCAGATGCTATTGAAGCTTACCTTAAAGAAGCAGACTCTAAGGTGACTACTAAGACTCACCAGCCTGCTAAAGACCAAAAGGAGCTCTCTAAAGATGTGGGACTTGTTGAGGTATGAGTGTAGATAAACACATCCTTCAGTTGTGAAATTTTTCATATTTTAATTTTCATATCTTATTTAATAGATGTATGCGAGTCTGTATGTACGTGTGGATGTGTGTATGTATTAATGTGAGTGAGAGTGTTTTTGTGTTTGTGTGTCTGTGTATGTGTTTATATGTGTGTGCATATATGTAAATGGGTCTTTTTAGGGATGTTTATAAGAGGGTGTGTTTGTGTGAGGGGTTGTGTTATTGAGGAAGTTGGACTTAGGTGGCGAGAGGGGTGCTGTACAGATATCCCCCAATATTATTAAAAGAAAATTAACATCTTTCTGTGCTATTTCTCAGGTATAAAGTAAAGGTAGCAAAATCCATTAATCCCTTCCCTTAATATTACAGTGTTTGATGATATCCTTTTGGTTGATGAATATGAAGATTCTTGTAAGTTATAATCTTTATAGGTTAAAGAAGAGAAAATTGAACATGAAGACAAAACAGCCATCTCAGATCCAGGAGAGAGCAGCAAAATTCATATGGTAAAAAGATCTGAAGTGAAGAAACCAGAGGTAAAGCGACTTGATGTTAAGCTGAGTGACCCCCCAAGAATGAAAATAGAGATCCCCATTATACCAAAGACAGAGAATATAGGTATGTTAGCCTCGCCACTGATAAGTCCCTCAGCAAGCCCTTGGTCTCCCACTCTTACCTCTGCACTACCCCGATCCTTGCCTGCCTCTGCAATTGTTCATTCAGGTATTAGTTTTTTGCATTTTGTTATTATTTTTGTTATTCTGTAATAATTTTAGTTACCTTGTTTCAGTTATTTTGTGGCTTTTTATAATGCTATACATGTTTTAGAGCAAGACACCATATTCTCACTAACACACTATGACCTTGATTACCACCACAACAGCTGATGCTAGGAACAGTGTTCCCAATTCTGAAATCTTACCAGAGTTATGAATTCCTATCTATAAATTTCATTAGATTTATCCCTAAAAGTAGCTTTAACTGTACACTGTAACATCAAAACTTAAAAATGTAGGCAGTTAAACAGCAATAATGAAAGCATAAAAAAAGCAAAAATGATAAAAGCTAATGTACACACTGTGTCGATACTTGCCCTAGCAACTCAGTTATGCTGCCTCTACCTACTCTTAGCAACAGTGTTCCCACACTACCCCCCTCCCCACAAGCACATACAGTGGGGTATGCTATAACGAATCTAATTGGTTCTAGAACCTTGTTCGTTATAGGATTAATCCGTTCCAGGCCCCCAAATACAACCACTTAACACTGAAAAATATAATATAAAATTGCAAAATTTGTAAAAAAGTGCATAAATATGCATCTAAACCCCTGAAATAAAGAATATCATTAATATTTGTAATAAAAAAACAATAAATTAGTAAAAAAAAAAAAAAAAAAAATTTTTTTTTTTTTTTTTAAATAATGTTCGTTGTAGGAGTTTCGTTCGTTATAGCATTCTCAATTTTATAGGTAAAGCCGTTCGTTATAGGAATATTCGTAGTAGGATCCGTTCGTTATAGCATACCCCACTGTACTTTACTGGGTAGCTATTGTCCATCATAAATGATTCATGAAAATGCATGAATTTTAACCCCTCAAAAATATTACGCAGACAGTATATAGTCTGACCCTCTATTTTGTGCGTAAAAATTTGATCATAAAAATTTGGACTAGAGTATACAGTATATGGTACCTGAATTGTAGGAGGGATGGCTACATAGGCCACCTCCCCACCCCAACCCAATTAGAGGAAGGGATGTATCCCCCCCCCCAGAGCATATACCCATAATGAGATGAAAGATTGGAAAAAAAATTATAACTACAATAGCATACTCGTAATTTAAATAAGATTGATTGATTGCTTGATTGGGTAAAATATCTGACATTGCAGCCTGTGGTTATTTGATGCTGAAAATTGAAATCATAAGTAACTTAAAATTGTGATATACATAAAATAAAATCCTATTAAATTTAAATATCAAAATTAAAATACAATAAAGTACTGATACTGTACTCATTTTAAAATCACAAGCGGTTAAGTAACCCTTTTGCAATTAAAATTTTAAAAGGCCACCATCAGGTGTTGAACTTTTCCCGCTGAGCACCTTTGAGATGGAGAAGGAACCACCCCCCCCTAATGGCACTTAACCAGTCAATAACTCCCCAAGTCCACATGACTAGGGACACTCTATCAGCAAGTGTCGGATTTAACTGAGACTATTTAAAAAAAATTATTGAAGATAAAATGGTGATTGTAGTTCACCTAAAAATTATTGATAAAAGAAGAAGGAAAAGGTGATAAGATTACAGTTTTCTTTGTCAATTCTATCACCAATGTCTTGAAATTACCTCTATGAGTAACACATGAAACTCTTGTGTTATATACAGTTGCCGCCACACACACATAACTTTACCTTCCTTTGTGTTATTGTTTTCAGTCATTTATTCCTAACTACAAAGCTCATTTTATTGGTGAAATTTCCCTGTGTTACTTCTGTTTTGTTCACTAATACACAAAACATGATAATAATTCATATCATAATTTTTTTTATAATTTACGTTTAATTTCTTGTTGTAGAAGCTTTAGTATTCAAGTTACTGTCGCTTTTCTTTGTTGAGCTACCATACAAGTATGATTACTGTAACTTGAACACCATTTTTCCATTGACTTCCATTATATAATTAGAGATGCATTTCTAGAGAAACTTTTTCAGAAAAAGTAGTAATACAAGCACACGTATGAATGAAAATACAAATTTTTAAACACATACATTGATTATTTTATGATATAATATGATACTACAGTAAATACATTAAACAAAACTCTTGAATTAAACTCACCACAAACAATGTTGAGTGCTGCATGAGGTGATGTGGTGCAATGGGAGTTCTTGCAAGACGTAGCAAGCCCTAATGTTTTTGTAATCTGGCTAAGTTTTCTTCCGCATCAAACCTTCATAAAACATCAAGTTTTATATTCAACATAATTCCTTTACGGGCTCTTTTAGCACCACTGCTTTCACCTACACTTAATGGCCTCTTTACACTCACCATGAATAATATACAGCTAGACCCCGACTTACGACTGCTTGGACTTACAACCGTCGGGACTTACGACCGCCGCAGTTGTGACCTTTATTTTTTTTTCCAAATGACACACGCATTTTCTATACCGAAACGTTTCCAGTTAATGTAGTCTCCATGTATAATTAGAAAATTATGGGGGCCCCATGTGCATTCAGCTTACTACATTAAAGGTAAGTGCTCAGTCACACTGTATCCATTCCTCATTATTTATTACTTTCACTGTACTGTATCCATTCCTCATTATTTATTACTTTCACTGTACTGTATCCATTCCTCATTATTTATTACTTTTACTGTACTGTATTTCATTGTAGATTTTTTATTAATTTTTTTTATTTTTTTTTATCTATGTCGGACTTACGACCATTCGGACTTACGACCTGAATTTGGGTCCCTAACCCCGTCGTAAGTCGGGGTCTAGCTGTACTGTATGTATATAAGTGTTAAATCCAAGAGCTTGTGTCGAGACATCAAGCATGCATTCTAGGGAGATATAAACAAACTAAGTCCAGTGGCGTGGGTGCACTGCATACCCAGACTTGGTGGCAGCAAACACCAGGAAATCCACACCAAATAATGTATAATGTCAGTGAAATATTTTTATTTCTATATTATGATTTTTGTGAATACAATTTTGAAAATTTACCCCATTTCCGTAAGGTTGAATTTACAGACTGTTTCCTGTATTTAGTGGTCATAATTTACAATTTTCGAATGGGCGAATTTCCATAATGCGGGGGGGGGGGGCCTGTATTAGCTGGAGAGTATATTTTGCTACTCCTTTAAAGCAATGAGCCAAATAATACAATACACTACTGGAGTTTTTTATACTGTACAGTAGACCCTTGCTACTCGCGAGGGATAGGTTCCAAGAAATGGCGCGAATTGGCAAAATCATGAATTGCAACTTATACTACCTTAGTGCACTACTGTATACCTATACCAAACAACTGACCAGCCATGGCAGCACTCATCCCCTCTTTTAACATATCTAATAATAAAACTTTCATTGTCAGGGTCATCACTGACTTCTGCCTTTTACATTTCACTCCATTAGCATCACTAGCACTGACACTAGGCAGTGTTTTAGGGGCCATTTCACACAGAAACACTAATGTTTTGAGACTACAACACGAGATGCTGTGTGGGATAACTCGTTGTGCTGAGGAAAAAGTCTTGCAAGCTAGCTACCACTGCCACCATCTGCTTCCCGCAAATTGTCGAAATCACAAATCGCAAACTTGCGAATATCAAGGGTCTACTGTAGAGTTTGATTTTCTTCACTCTCATAAGCCAAGGCAAATGTAGGAAAGTAAATATTGTTCAGTACAATACAGTACTAGTAAATTGTGTATGACTCATATGACATTTAGATATAAGATTTTTTCTTCTTGATATATAAAATGTGCTTATAGATGAAGCAGTAAAAGAAGAACCACCACCACCACCACCACCACCACCAGCAGAAGATACAGCAGTAGGATCAGATTTAACAGAAGAGACACCGAAATTTGGAGCAACACCTCCTGCACGTCAAAAGAATATCTTGAAAAAGGAGCCAGTCCGTAAGTACACTGTTGTAACATGAAAAACGGTTCTCAGAGGATATTTTGTATGGATTTGGGGGGGGGGGGAAATATCTTCACAGTGTTTAGAAAAATTCTTTCAGAGATAATTTTGAAACCTGTTGGAGTCAGATGATTTTATATTAAATAAATTATATTCCAAAGACGAATACCAGTAAAGTTTTAGTGATGTAGGTGAACCAAAAGTGGGTGACAGCACTGAGTGTGGGATCACTCTGATTGAGTAATTCAACACTAATACATAATGAAGAACAGTGATTGTATTAGCTTCTTGTTGTGGAGAGACACCCGGAAGGAGTTTGGCTTAACAAATTGAATGTCAAGTGCAGTACAGTATATTGCCATTGTGTGTAATGGTACAAAACAGTTTTATGACAGGACAAAGTCTCAGTGAAACAATAATAATTCCATTATTATTGCAAGTGTTAATCATTATGTCATAGTACATAACAGTTTTGCAAAAGCATTTGATTAAATTTTTCAAATAAAATTTTTCCTTTTTTGAAAACCCTACATTGGTAGGCAACCTCTAAATCACCTTCAATCTTGCTGAAATTTTGACAGTAATAATCTCTCATCAGAAGAAAACTTAATTTTTTTTTGACACCCTAGTTTGTACTCTTACAAAATGTTCTGTACAGTATTTAAAAAATATCTTGACTTTCAGTTATTGTATGTACACTCGCAACAAAAAATATCGGTGCATACTGTAGTGTGAACAATTTGAGACCAGTGGCGATAGGTATTGGGAAAGGCGAGTTGTTCCAGCCATATGTTGGCAGCCCTGATTGTCGGCCATATGGCAACACCTAGTGGAGGGGGGGGGGGTTATGAGGATACACTTACCAACCTTCCCGACATATCACAGTGTACACGTATCATTTCGGAACTCGTCGATCTCACCCTGCACGGATACTTTTTGGTGTGAGTGCATGTAAGTAAATAAAACCTGTTATTTTAACCCTCTCGTGCACGAGATAAGTTTTAAGTTTTCCAGTTCCAAGATCACATCTCTGAGGCCCCCAGTCAGGCGAGACAGTGCACGGTGAATATATTTTTTGCTTTATCAATTTCTCCCCCAAAACTTTTTTTAATGGCATAAACCATATACTGTATCTTTGGCCTTGTAACTGATTGCTCTGCGACTTAGCCAAAAAAAGAATAATACAAGTATATTGCTATTTTTCATCACTTCCAATAAACATGAGAGAAAAAATACAGACCAATACGTTCACAACCTCCTAGCTCAAAATTTTCTGAGTCAACTGTTTAAGTACTGTACACTGCTAGAAGCGGAAGTTTATAAGCTTTCCAATGCAGTCATCAATTTTCTGATATGAACAAAAGTTTTTGAGAAAATAGCAAAAAAAAAAAAAAGATTCTCAAATGGTAAAAAATTTTTTTTTGTCTTTTTTGATAATTTGTGTCCCTGTGTTTTATATTGATATAAATTATATTTCAACTTGTTGCCAACACTATAATAAAGAGAATGGTTCTAATAAAATTCATGTAAGTCTAGAAAATCATCCTCTTTCGGAGACTCTTTTCGAAACATTGTCACTATAACGAGGTTGTATAGCTGATACGGTAACAACTTTTGTAAACTAAACACTTTCTCTGTAAATATGAAAACAATATTACATTACACAACCATCACTTCACTTTCTAAAACTAAAAAGAAATTATTTCAGGGAGTATGGTAAGCACTGTAATCCAGGAGTTGAGGCAGCCCACACACAGTTATGGAAATTTAAATGGACACGGCTCACACTCACTGTCTGACTGCTGAGATAACACTGCGTATTTATCTTTCTGATCTTTCCTTCCTATGGGCCTCGAGAGTCGCTAATTAGTTTATTTGATATAACTTACCTTTTACTATAACGCATTAAAATTTGACACAATTGTGTTGAAAACTTAATTTTGGGCAAACTTTTAAAAGTTTGGTGACTCGATTTGCATCACCTTGAAGTTGGTCTTATCACGAGTCATCAGGCACAAGAGGGTTAATGAACTGTTTATTATTTTATACAAACATATGATCAGTTGGCAAGTACAGTAGTGGATATTTTTCTAATTGATAATTTTTTCATTCTTTTGAGTGTAGATTATTGAAGACTGTTAAGGTTATGAAGTGCCTGACTTTAAAGGAACATTATGAAAGGAAGTTATTATATCATGAGTGGAATCTGAAACAAAAAACTTTCATAAAACTCAAGCCTGCAGAAGATATTTTCTTTTTAATTATTTTGTTATCTGAAACAGTAAAAAAAAATATCAAAATTTCTTTTGGGTATATTAATATTGGGACACCCTGTAGGTGTAAGACCAGTTTAACTGTACAGTAAAAGCCCCATTATTTGAAATAATAGGGGCTCTAGCCCTTACAAAATATGACGGACACCTCCAGAAGGAAAACAAAAATTAATGGTTACTTTTCCGTTATGTCCTGAGCAAAATTAAAAAAATTCTAGGTACAGAACTGTACCAAAATTAGGGTTATCAGACATAATGTCTCAAATACTGGGCAATGATGTAAAAACAAGTGGGAAAAGCTTGCACAGTAGATCATAAATGTGCACTCCATAACTGACCAACATGAATCGACAGTGACCGACATGAGTAACGCGTATAATACCTGTACTTTGTTTACACTGAGACAGGCCGTCGGCATTCGCATCCCATGGCAACATGTGCATCATATATATATTCATAAATGTCTCATACTTCAAAATTTTACCAAATATTATTAAAATTTTAATATACAGTTGAGTCTGGATTTACGCGGTTTTGGTTTACGCATTTGGTCATTTACGCGGTGCCTTGCCAGAATTGAAATGCTTGATTTACGCGGGAAGCGGCGCGGGCAGGGTGCGCACAAGGTCGCCCAGTCATCAAAACATTACCAGGTTCTTCACCCGCCACCCACCACAGCCGGTCCAAGTCAGTGATAATGATAGTGAGGATATGGACTTTGAGGGGTTTGACAAAGAGGCCCTGCAAGCCTATGTGGTGGATAGTGATACAATTGATACAAGTGATACAGGTGAGGGCCAATTATCTGTCCTCTGCCTCGGAACCAATCCCCCACCCCCGTGTGCCCAGCCATCTTTTCTACTCACGTAATTGTTAAACAACCTAATATTATTTATATTTCTCTTAATTATTAATTGAGTGTGCATACCATCATAAAATTAAGATGTTATTTTGACTACAAGGTACGTATTGTGTCGGGAAAAGTGGAGCTTGGGAGTCGGCCCAGTCTCTATTTCAATTAATCCCATATGTTCTGTTATTTCATTTACGCGTTTCTCATTTTACTCGGTACTCTGCGGGTTCAATTGACCATGTAAATGAAGACCCAACTGTAGTGTACTGTATATATGTTGTAATATTTCAAAACGTCTCTCATATTAAATATTTAACCCCAAATTACAAAAAATTTAATATACCGGTAGTATACAGTACAGTATTTCGTTACAGCAAAGCATTACAAATTATGAGCTATTTCGAATTACAGAAGTACAAATTATGGGTTTTTTACTGTACATTGCATTAGTGTACAGTCCATGTACTGTATTAACATTAAATGTTTGTCAACATGCTCATAGACATACTACTATTGGGTTTACTTTATGTGAAATATATATTCTGTAGTTTACAGAAGGATAAAGTTTTCACATTCTCCAACAAGTATCTATTAGGAGGATGTGTGGTTATACTGTACTGTACTGCGTGGGGGAGTGTAAAGCTCTGGGCCATCCTTTGTGATAATTAGACCAGTAAAATGATTTACTACTGTATAGTTAATGGTAGTAAATGTACTAATGTTTTCAATTTATAAAAAAATCTCTTATCATACTACTAATGAATACATCTGTATAACATTAATGTAAATATTTAACCTAAACTGACTTCGTTTTTCTTTTTCTACAAGGTGACAAACCATCTGGATATGGTAAGAATTTTACTCTCTTGATATTTGTATTTTCTGGGTATTTCTCTCTCTCTCTTAATATGAACAGTGCATCCTCAGCATATATATATATATATATATATATATATATATATATATATATATATATATATATATATATATATATATATATATATATATATATATATATATATATATATATATATATATATATATATATATATATATATATATATATATATATATATATATATATATATATATATATATATATATATATATACACACACAGTGACCCCTCGTTTAACGAACACCTCGGTTAACGTAATTTCGATTAACGAACTGCCTTCCATAAGGATCTTCAATTCGGTTAACGAAAAAAAATTCGCTTAACGAACTTCTTACGAACCGACCTCAACATGTTTTCGCTTGCACTGACCGGGCAACCAGCTTTAGTATCAGTCCGCCAATACATTAATCGGTTCTAGGGCTTAAATTCCTTACTATTTTTGTAAATATCAAGAAGTTTATACTATTCAATAATTTTAAAAGTTTAATATTCAATTTTTTAGTCATTTTAACAATTATTGAACAAAATTGAAGGTAAAGTGACTAGTTTAATGCGCGGCATCCAGCCTCTTAACACAGCAAACAGGCGTCAGTCTCTCTCTGTTTTCACTGGAGGTAACATCTTGCTTGAGACTCTCTTCAACTAAACGCTTTTTTTCTGTGTTTCCAAGCAAATTATTGGTCATTTTGAAATATATTTTATATATTGACAATATATAATGCAGTGCAGCGTTGATTTAAAGAAAATAATCTTGAATAAACCAGAGAGCTAAAATTTTATGGGTGAAATGGCACCATGGGTTGACTTCTCTTCCACCCCAATGCCTTCTCTTCTTCCTTCTCCTCCACCCCCATTCTAAATCCCATCATCATCATCATCATCCAGGAGCCTTCTACATACACACCTCAAAGTAAGTGAACTTTTCTACCATTTTTGTTGAATTTAGGAAATTTTCGGTGAGGTGGAACCAATTACCCAAAACCCATTGAAACAATGGTTTCAGTTAACAAACTTTTCGGTTAACGAACGACCTTCTGGAACGGATTGAGTTCGTTAACCGAGGGGTCACTGTATATATATATATATATATATATATATATATATATATATATATATATATATATATATATATATATATATATATATATATATATATATATATATATATATATATATATATATATATATATATATATATATATATATATATATATATATATATATATATATATATATATATATATATATATATATATATATTTGATATGTCTCATATGTGGTTGTAATAATCCAGGATTCACTCAAATAGAGTCACATATAATTTTGTTGAGACAAAACATTGAGAAAGTGAACCAGCCTGGATAATTGAGGTATTGGAGTAATTAAATTTAATATTTTCTGGATGTTAATTGCCATTACTGCATTAAATGCTTGTTAGCTTTTCATGTTGGTTCCATATCCATATAGTAGTCTTAACCTGATCAAAGAACATGTTCATGTGCTCAGGTTATGGTAGGAGTAAGTGTAAAATGTATAATAGCCAGTAATCTCCCCATTAGCCAGAACAATTGGTGCAGAGCTCTTCTGGGAATAAGAAATTTCTGGGTATTGAGATGAATCTCTCAAACCCGGAAAAATCCCACATTCCTAGAATTTTCTGGGTACAGTACTGGGAAAAGTTTCCGAGAGTCTAAACTATGCATCTCGCACGGACAGACACTATCCCACATCCCTGGATTATTTTTGGGTGCTGGGGAAAGTCTTCTGAGTCTAAAAGAATCTAAAATATACATCTCATGATCTCATTTCGCATAGACAAACACTCCCATTACATCTAGACCGCAGGCATGAGTGAAAATATTTATACCTAGTGAAAAAGTATATAAACTTTAATTCACAGCTTCTGTCCTAATTGTGTTAGAGAGATGAATCTGGTACCATAATGATCTTGAATAAATTCTCTACAAGACATTTCAATAAAAGATCCTAAAACAAAATATTTTGACACAATATAATGATGACTCAGTTTTTTATGAAAAAATTTAAGAAATATTTGTACTGGATTCTATAAAATTGGTTCCAATAAGTTAACACCAATTTTTTTACTAAAATAATTCTAAATACTTTATCTAAAAAAAATCAATTAAATTATATAAAAACAACAATATAATATGTGCGTGCGGAGCATGAATAGAGCTGTGTCCAGCCAAGACTTAAATTTTCCACTCTGTATTGGGGAAGTTTTCCCCGAGTCTAGACGACTCATCTTGCATGGAGCATGATTTATTCATGCAAACACCTGTGTATACATACAATATATTGTAAATACGGTAAATAAAATTTTGCATACTACTACTGCACTGTACTGTACTCACCGGCAGATATTGTCATCTTGAGCCTAAAGTAGACATACACTGTCCATTTTGCTGAATGTACAGTACAGTACAGTATAGTATATGTAACTTTAATCACTTTTTATATCGTCACACTTGTGATGGAGGTGGGGTGGGGGATTAGTGTGTCTCATGTTACAGACCTGACCTGATGCAATGTCAGGTCACTTTTTGTCAGGGTGGGGGATTAGTGGGTCTCATGACCTGAAGATGTCTTTACCTGTACATATGGTACATTTACACTTATTGATTGTACAGTACAGTATATGTAACTGTAATTGCTTTTTACATCTTAACACTGTACCTGAATTCTTGACTTATTGTGTCCTGCTACAATAATGTACAGTACCTGCACTTCACAACAAAAAATTTTTACAAAAAAGCAGCTAGCTATGGAATAACCTTTTACTACAATGGCAGCAGAATATGAATTAAATGCGCAAGTTACTGAAGCAGCTAGCCCACCCACACGCCTCGCACGTGGAGCCACGGAAAAGCATGATGCAATATCTCGGAACACCCTGAAAATTTCTTCCTAGGCCCAGAACAGAGTGGTTTGGAAAGATTTTCTGGGGATTTTTCCAGAAAATGATCCTGATTTTCACCCACCAGAAACTCGTTCACAGACCTGAAATTGAGAGAATTTTTCCAGAAAACTTCCGGGCCGATTTCCATTCTGGCTATTGGAGAGTTTCGGGGACCAAGGATTCCAGCTAACGGGGATATTACAAGAATTCTTGCTTAATACAATAGTTTTCTGTTCATTATTGTTTGACTTCATCATTAATAACTTTGCTAGTTGTTGATCTCAACTATATTTTTTGACAGCTGTTATATCAAGTGTTTGTATTTGGCTTTGCATTACACTGTATCCTGTCATACTATTGACACTTCATATTTTAATTAACTATTTTGTTTTTGAGTATCAAAATCTGCTTAACCTTTATTTGTATGATGAGTCAAGTTATTATTTAAGTCTCATCATGTCTAAATAAAGTACAGGTACACCACTGATTTTCCGGGAACTGATGGACCGGCACCTCCTTTAGTCCGGACAAAATTATGAGGGGGCACTTAACTTCCCTCCCTCCCTCCCTCCCAGCCAGGGTGAAGGTAGTTTTAGGCTTAAAGTTTTTATCTTATAAAATGTAGCTGACTAGACTTAGCAGAATATAAATTTCATTGCTGGAATCCTTGTAAGATATTGATTAATTTGAGTATAAATATCACATAGTTTGTACAAGAGATAAAAAATTTAGTCTAGTTTAGTACATTTGAGTACAAGTTTTTAAAAAAAATTTAAGATATACGTAACTTTCTTCATTTATTTTTACTCTTTTACATGCACTCACCATCCTAAATATATATTGTGAAAAAAGTACAATAAAAGAAATAATTGTTCTAAGGGCAAACCTGTACTCAAATGTACTAAGTTAATTACTAAAAAATTTATATCTAGTTCAAACTATGGGATATTTGTATTTAAATTCATCACTATCTTACAAGAATTACACCAATGCAGGTTATATACTGCCAAGTCAGTTCAGTGACATTTTATAAGGGAAAACTTAAACCCGCTCCATTTGATAACTACACACTTTGTTATCTCCCCTCCCTGACAGTTGTCAACACCTCAAAAAACAAAACAAAAAAAAACCTCCCCCTCAGTCAGGGTGATTTTTTTTTATCCTCTTCAATTTTAGGCTTAAAGTTTTTATCATATAAAATGTAGCTGACTAAGCATAGTCCATTGTAGTACATTTAGCCATTTTTTTTCTAAAAACTAGTTTTTGTGATACAGTTCAGAATGTGACGTCTAACTTTATACCTAGATACAGTAAATGCCAAGCATTAACTCACCAGGCCAACATACAGGCAATTAAAACATCTAATAATTACTTAAATATGAAATATTAGGACACGTCGCTACCTGGCATTTAATTGCAATTCTCTCGTGGCACTTAATATTTCAGCTATTACAACACAAATTAGCGGAGCTTTCCTTGTGCGCGTTTACAGCTGATTCGCCAGGCAAGAAGATGACGGTAGCAATGCGTGTGATGGAGGGGGTTTTGAGAATTGCAATTAAATGCCAGGTAGCGATTTGTCCTCCTAATATTACGTATTTAAGTAATTATTAGATGTTTTAATTGCCTGTATGTTGGCCTGGCGAGCTAATGCTAGGCATTTACGTACCGAGGTATAAAGCTAGAGCTAGACGTTGCATTCTGGACTATACTGTATTACAAAAACTGGGTTTTTTTTAGAAAAAAATGCCTTTTTTCCACACATAATTTACATTTAATATTTGTTTAATTTAAGTTTCTAGCAGTCCATGGTGCTTTAGAGACACAAGAGGTGTATAATTAGTGGGTCGGAGGTGTATTGTTGAATTATTATTACCTGACCTCGGTTGGTCCGGCAAAACGGATAATCCGGCAAGGCTTTGGAACCAAGGGTGCTGGAAAATCGGTGGTGGACCTGTAATAGGAACGTGTGAGAACATGTCCATAATATCACCTATATTTTCAATACAGTGGCCCCCAATGAGTTTGTAGTGAGGGCAGAGCACAATGAACACCAGTGTCCAAAAGATGGCTGTGGTAAAGGTTTCCGCAAAGAAAACCTCCTGCAGGTGAATAACATGTGGACGTTTGAACATCTAGAGCAGTGGTCCCCAACCTGTAGTTTGTGGGTGCTGGAACCATATTATGTAGCTCACAAGGGTTTATTAGATAATTGTGAATTATTTGGGATTCTTTGTAAGAGTGAAATTAATGAAAAGGTGTATTAACTTGATACAACTTAATAAAGAGAGAGAGAGGAGCTGCGCATTAATTCAGAGTCTATCGTGTACAGAATGTGTGTATTTACCCCAGACCAGACCCAGAGAGGGCCAGCCATCTCACTGGGGTACATACACACGTCCTGTCCAAGAGTAAACGTAAAAAGTATGTAACTGGTAACAGTTAGATGTGTAAAACTGCAAATAACTGTACAGTATATATGGGATTTTTTTCTTGAATGTAGATGCAAAGTTTTGGCGCCCTCCACTATATTTACAATGACAAAAGTGGCCCAGAGCCTACCAAAGGTTGGAGACCACTGATCTAGAAATTTCTTTAAACCCCTTTTTTTTTAGCCTTTCAGTATACGTATACAGTAATGGTATCTTTTTAATAAATATTATCTCCATGGATTATCAGCATTTTCAGAGGAGTAATAATAAAAGGAAAGTAAGGGTGACAGAAGAGTACTTATGGGAGGTGAGTCAGCTGTGTTTTTATAGATGACACTGCTCTAGTAGGCAGTTGATATAAAAGCTTAGAGATGTTGGTGAATTAGCTTGGAAGTGTTTGGTAAGAAAAAATAGTAGTAAAAGTGAGGAGAAAATAATCCTATTAATAAGTTGTTTGAGAATACTGTGGTGGGACAGAATTGCACTAAAACAGACCTCCCCACATCCCTAGAGACCAACTTTCATTCCACTTAGACCCCCTCGTAGCTGTTAAGACCATACTTAATCTCCATAAATCCCAGAAGACCACGAGTCATCCACCTGGATCCTCCACTTTATTCCAAGACCTTTCCCTTCCCCCAAGACCACATTCATTCTTCTGGACCCACTACTTTATTCTAGGGCTTCCTTCATGTCCCCGGACCACACTACAATACCTCAGACTACTATTCAGTCTATGAGAGAAGTGCTGTGTTGGTAAAGTGGGTAAGGCGATTATGAATTGCTTTTGTGTGAGTGATTATGGAAAGGCAGAAGGATAGTCAGAGAGTAGTGGTAGTGTGGATGGTAGTGGGAGCACTTGGGCATTTACATAGATGTATTAATCTTTACTATTTTCATGACTGCATAGTTGATTTCTATTTTATATTAAATTAAGTCAAATTTGGGAACATTGATTTACACTTCCCTGTGTAGACATTTCAGTGATGACTAAATTCTCATGGACTTGTTACTTTTTTGTAATTGTAATTTTTTTCCACTTCTAAAATTGTAAACTACCAAATATTTGATAATGTATTATTGGTGAATGAGTGTAAGAAGAATGTATTAATCTATTACGTCAAAATGATTAGAAGGTTTTTGCTTTACCTTTCATTTTTCCAATAAAATATTCATGATAATCATTGTTAATTAATCCTTCCCTACTGATTTGACTTACATATCTTACTTTACAGATGCATATCAAACATTATCATCCAGAAATCCTTAAGAAAGGCAGCAGCTGGGCACCAAATGTTGCCGACCTGGCATATGCTCGTACTGTTGGTGATCATCTAGACTTGAATGCATCTCCTACTCCTGCCTCACCTCCTCTAGATAAAGCACTCAAGCAAGAAACTTTATCAAAGAAGATTTCACGTGGAGTGGTGTCTGGCAGTTCCACTGATGCTCGAAACAAAACAGGAGAAAAGAAAGGCCAAGGACCACTGAAAGGGGCAAATACTTCCAGAGAAATTAAAAAGAAGGATTCCCTTAAATCAGAAACTGAAATGGTAAGAAAGCAGGAACAGAATGCATCTTTTCCTGGCCTATGGGTTATTACTTAATGACAAAAGATTTTGTACTATCTCATATACAGATGGCATCAGTCTTCCTGGTTTTAAATTAGACCTATTTAAATTTAGGCTTTAGATAGGTAAACTTTGGTTTGGAATTAGAGTAGTGGATAAATGGAACAAGTTACCAAACATCATCATTAACTCAAACACACTGGGAGGCTTCAAATATAGGTGGGACAAATATATGAGTGATGTGGGTTGGGAGTAAACAGGTCTGCCAATTGAGGCCCACTGCAGTTTCCTCCATTCTTATGTTCTTATGTCTTTACCGTCTTCCTACAGACGGCCTTCACTCTCATTTCTTGGAAATGCAAACCTTGCAACATTTATTATTTCTGAAACATGCATAAACCATCACATTTAACAATGATATATTCCACCCATTTTTTCCCCTTTGAAGCCCTGCCTAACACTTTTTGTTAGCTGAAATAAAACGATTTGTTATTCAATCATCAAAATAAAGAATTTGAGTAATATAACACCTACCCGGAGCTTGGGGGAGTTTTTGAGGTGCTTGGTGTGATGATTGTTCCGAGGCTGGGGCATGAAGGCTACTGCGTCGAACCTCCGCCCACATCCCTGGCCCCATCTCCGTTCCCACGCTGGCTTCTCGCACCCAGTTCACCCACTTCCGCTAACACTTCATCAAACCCTGCAAAGTCAAAATCTTCAGGCATTTCCCCAATGTCATCAATGTCTTCATCAACTTCAATCTCTCTCTGTTGGTCTTCCTCGGCTGGCCGGCATTGTGAAAGAAAGCGAGTGATCAGTGACTGCTGCCGGGCATTCACTCGCTCGATGTACTGCTTCTGGTATTTTCTTGAAATAGATTCTATAACTCCAATCACTTGCTCCCTTTCACCTGATTCACTCTCAATGTCTTGGATCATCTCTTGAAGGCTGGTAAAGACACCCAATAAGAGTGACAGCTTCTGTGTCGTCACTTTCCTCTGCTTGGTCTCCCCTGCATCACTTGCTGCATCACCACTCTCACCACCTTCTTCATCCTCCAGGAGATTCTCGACGTCATTTGTGTTACCTTTTTGCATTAGTTCTTCTAAATCTTCCCGAGTCACTTCTTGAAATCCTGGGGCTGGCATACTGCGGACAGTTTCCAACACTTGGTTCATTAGCTCTGCTGGCTGCTGTCTCTTCGTTTCGGCAGACTTGAGTTGTGGCAGGAGTGCCGACTAGGCATGCCTAACGGTTGCTTTCGTAGTGTTTCCCCAGGCTTTTACAAAGAAATTGACTGCCTGGCGAATGTTATAATTTTTCCAGAAGGCAGTAGCAGTCATTGTGGAGATTGAAGGTACGCCAGGTGGAGCAGGGGTGGCGGGGGGTTGCAGGTGAGCCTGGAGGCGGAGGCTGTGAGTGAGCCAGGCGGAGCAGCGGAGGCGGAGGGTGTGAGTGAGTCAGGCGGAGCAGCGGAGGCGGAGGGTGTGAGTGAGCCAGGCGGAGCAGCGGAGGCGGCGAGGGGAGGATCATCCTCCTCCTCCTCCTCGCTACTGCTCACAGTTTCAGCAATTTCCTTCACTTCTTCTTGCTTATCAGTTTCCTTCCTCATCTTGTCATGGACATATTTGTAGTACATCAACTTTACATTCGCTATGATTTCTTGGTCTAGTGGCCGTATTTTGGAGGTTGTATTTGGTGGTAGAAACACAACCTCAACGCTAGGGTGACGTCCTACTAGAAATCGTGCATGACTGGGGGCATTGTCTAGAAAGAGCTCCACTTTGAAGACTACATTCTTCTTCCAGCAGTATTCTTTGGCATCCTTACAAAACAATCATCAAACCACTTCTTTGATAACTCCGTGGACATGTAGCCTTTATTTGTCTTTTCCCAGTAGACATTGAGTTTGGACATATCACATCCCTTGTAAGATCTTGGTCTTTTATATTTGTAGATCACCAGAGGCTTCATGAGGCAGTCACCTGAAGCATTACAGGTTAGGAGGACACTAAAGCGATCCTTTGCCATTTTCACACCGTTTGCCTGTTTTTCTTTCTTAGAGATAAATGTTGCTTTAGGGGATTTTTTCCAAAACAACCCGGTCTCGTCACAGTTAAAAATCTGATCCAGGGTATAACCTCCCTCTTGAATGATTTGATTGGCAATTTCAGGGAAAGAATCTGCAGCCACTAAGTCAGCAGACAAAGCCTCACCCTGATACTTTGCATACTTTGTGCCACTTCTAATCTTAAACTTATGCAGCCACCCTACTGAGGCATTAAAAGGAGGGGGAGACTTAATGTTTTTCTTTTGAGCTACAGCAGCATACAATACCCTTGCTTGATCTCGTATCTGAGGGCCACTAACGCTTGCACTGTCTTTCATTCTACAAGCTTACCATTTCACAAGAAAATGCTCTGTTATCACTAACAACCTGTTTCTATCACTTTTATCATTCATAGCTCGCCTCACATTTCCATCACTACCGAAATATTTCTTAGCCAGCGCAATACTCTTCTTGGTCTCCTCTAAGTTCCTCTTAATATTTCGCACTGTGGACTCAGGACAGCTCAATTTCCTCACAATATCAATGTTCCGTGCATCACTTTCAATGAGCTCAACAATCTGTTCTTTATCCTTAACCGAGTAGGCACGCTTCTTGTGGCTTTGTCTCTTAGCTTTGGGGTCTTTTTTTCTCATTCACTTTAAAAGTTCTCGGGTATTCAGGCGGTAAATCACTCCCTCCACCACCTCCCCTAGCCCTCACAGGCAAAAACGCGGAAGCCATTGTTGATCACCGATCCTAGCAACCACTGGTTATAGAGGCGAAAATCTCACACGTGGGCACAGCGCTGTATTCCACGGAGCGTGTGTGAGAGTGAGAATGACTCGGGAGTGAGGCGGAGCGGACAAGATATCGGCAAACAAACGCTATCATTGATGCGCTCGGACGCTTCCTGCGAAATCACCGTTATTCAAGAGAATCCAGACGTTATTATTGAATATGGGTATCTATTGTAACTTACCGTTATTGTCGAAAACGTTATTGTGGAAGTCGTTATTGGCGAGAGCCTACTTTATTAGCGTTTCCCCCTCCATCACCTGTGTCACCTACCATTACCCTGAGTTACCTACCATACCTCTGTGTTACCTACCATACCTCTGTGTTACCTACCATTGCCTCTCACCTACTACAATGCTTCATTCTTTGCCTCCAGTGCTGTTAAGTGTTATTTTTTTTTAAATTAGTAAGTACATGCATACATACTGTATATGGGTCAATAATTTTTTTTTTTGTATTTTTGTAGGAGGTGCTTTGATAAGTCAGAATTTGGGACAATTCGGCTAGACCAGAGCCCTATACATTCCAAGTTATCAAGGTTTTACTGTAATAAGAAATTGTGTTTACAAAGTATAACTCACAATGTATATCAAAATCAAGACAAGAGCTTGGGTGTAGGTCACTTGGATCCAGTCAGGTTAGCTGGGTAGTGCTCATGCAGGTTTGTCACAGGCTCATCACTTGAACATACAGTACAACATGGCACAGTGAAAGTGTACAGTTTTCTCATATTACTGATCTCTTTGAAACCATATTTTGCACATGGAATTTGTACTCAGGTAAAAATGGCCAGAATTTGGGGACACAAATACAGTTATTGATACAAAAGCCATATTTCAGAAGATGTATATATCGTAATTTTTTTCACTTGCTCAATGTTTCCCTTGTACAATTCAAACAGACAAAATCCATGTCTGAAGATGAAATTGAACCCAAAGAAGAATTAGATGACTACATGGATGATCTTGAAGAAGAAACACCAGTGCTTCGAGACATTGTTCGTGCTGAGGACCCAGATTATGTACCCTGTGAGGTGGATCCATTACTAAAGAAGAAAGATAAGAAGGAGAGGAAGCGAACACGAAGTGAAGCAAAGGGAAAGAAAAGGAAGTCAGGTTAGTTGTTAGACCTTCTTAATAAAAATATAAAAAATTCAATTTTTTACAGACATGTGCTCCAGTGAAATGGGAAAGTCAGAGAGATCTGTGGTATAATGAAATATACTGATGTACAGTAATTTATGTACCTTGCATGAATTTATATCATGAAATGTGTCACTCAGAACATAATTCTTGCAAATTATATTAACATACTGGCTGGGATACTCTGCATTGCTGAAGATTGTTTTTGATGAAGTAAAGTTAACCAAAATGTGTATGTGTGTGTGTGTGTGCGTGCATGCATGGGTGTGTGAAGTAAAACCCACATTGGTGAAATAAAGGGTGAATTCTTGAATCTGGTATATTTCGGTCCAAAAACTGGGACCCTTTTCAGCCCACTAACAGATCAAGCAGGGGAAAAGGAGTATTTGAGTGAATCCGTGTTGCTAAGCGAGGGGCCAGTGTACAGTGAGTTACAACGCCACCCTCAACAGCTGACTGCATCTCCCTCATCTTTCTCCAGAGGCTGAACTCACCCTAAATATATTTTTCTAAATATCTTAATTCATGCAACATACAGTATGTTTGATATTTTGTTTTACATACCTTAAATTCATATTATATTGTTTATTTTACATTACAGTTTCAATACCATATGCTGCAGCTCACACCCAGCTTCTTGTACCTGACACAGCCACACTCCCACCAATAAAACAATACCAGTACAGATATATGTATAGTATTTGTTTTATTGTTAAACATATCAATAAAATATATTCTGTCCCATCATTCATTCTTTCTGTGTGTTTTCAAACAAAATTGTAGGAGGACAGACTTAGTTTTACAGGAGCTTCTTTCTTGGAGGTATGCCTGTACAGTACAATATATGCTTGGCCATTTATCTTGAAATCTAAAAAATCTTAAAATTTGAAATCATTAGGTCTCAGGTATTTTAGTTTTGTGCTTGAATACCTGTATTAGAATAAGCAAACAAACAAGTTAAGTCTAACACTTTAACACTTCCCTGTTGTGAAGATAGAAATACAATAGCTGTTGTTTTCTAATTCAGTTTATTTTCCACAGTTCCTTCAGAAAGTATGAGTGAGGATGACCAGCAGGAAACTAGAGCAGTTACCAAGTACCGATACAGCAAACGCAAGGGATCTGCACCACCCAAAACCAATGTTTCAGCCACCAGTGGTATGATAGAAGTAATCTGTTCACTGCCATCTTGCTCATTCTTGGCCACATTGTCTGCTTCAATTATTTTCTCAGTGATATTATGTGGTACACTATAAAAGTTTAAATATTGTTTTGTTAAAGGGATTTCATAAGTTTACTTTATTGTAATTTTATGTACAGTACATATCAGTTCTATCATCCCAGTAGGGGATATCAGACATAGACAGTGAGATTGTTATTTCCTCCAGTGGATGGTACCTGTACAGTATAGCCATCTAAATAGTGGGGACAGGAATGTTGACATTTTCAATCAACCACACCAACTTGGTTAACAATAGGGATATGCCAGGTATCTGGCAGATATCCAGTATCTGGCTTTTCTTTCCACTTTATCCTCCAGCTGGATATCATCTTACTGTCGGACATGGTTGCCGGATATTTATAAAATTTTGGAAAGATGGTACAATAACATTGTCTGGTGCTGATTCTACTCATGACAATCAGTTAGAATAATGTTTCATTTCTAGGTTCTCATACATTAGTATGAAAAACAATTCCATTATTGTGTGCACAATGATGGATCTAAGCATAAAGTTAGTTTCCTTATTTTATCTGTCATATTAGACACTACACGTACTCCTCGACTTACGACAACCTGGACATACGACCGCCGTGGTTGTATAAAATATTTTTCAAATTACGTACGTATTTTCTGGTACCGACTTTAGTGATCGCGCTGTGTACTGACAAAATTTTTGTTTGTAACTCCCTTTAAAATGGCTGGCATTCATCAAAGTGAGAATTCTCGTGGTGCTGAGAAGAAAAAGGGACACCCATTTTAGAATTTCTATGTTATTTTCGCCTTTTTGACTTATGACCTGGTCATCGGGACGGAACCCCGTCGTAAGTCGAGGAGAGATTGTATACTGTATCTCTCTTTATTGTCCTGCAATACTGTAAAAGTACAATAGACCCTTGATACAGTATATCACAGTATGATACCATGTACTTCCCTTTTATCATTTTGTAGCACTAAATTATTCCCATTTTTAGCACTATTACACAGTCAAACACCTTTATTTCACAGTGTAAGACATGAAAAATTTAATTACAGTAAATGGATCACTGTGTTCATTTTCTTTCTTTGGTCTCCCTGATGCTGTAATTTCCAGGATTTCCTCCATTTTCTCCACCTACCACATCCGTGCAGTAATGGATGAGCTACCTCAAGGTTTAATTCTTCCTCTTATCATCTTTTCACTAAATTTAAATTATCTACTTATCATTCCTACCATCACCACACACTTCTCTACTGATGACGACAACCCACAGCAAGTTTTATTCTTCCTCTCTAATGCCAGTGCCTGCTTGTCTTCCATTTGATTGTCTCAATGCCACACTTGCACTGAATACAGATTTTAAGTTCAAAGCACAGTGGGCATAAATAACCTTGATATATTTAATGTCACTAAAGCACAGTCTTAGTACAGTATACATGCAAAGAAGACCATTTCTAGCCTCCACTTTCATTTGGTTTGTAAAGGAATACTATACAGTATCTAGTATGTGTAAGTTCCCTCTTAATCTTTCACTGCTAATTCACTGCAGATGAATATGAATTGTGCCAATTTTTTCAGAAATTTAGTTTTTCTGCGCAATGAGAATTTTTTCAGAAAGCTCCTGTAATTGAATATTATGTGCATGAACATAATGTACATATCATATATGCATCTTCACCTTTATTTTAAATTCTTGCAGATCCTTTTTCCTCTGAAGCCAATTTATCAACTTCACCAGTGAAGAAGGTTCAGTGTGCAGAAGGTAAGACAAATATTGTAACTAGTTTAGGATTGCTTTATTCTTTATACTTACTGTATTTTAAACTAATAGTAACTGCAGTACAATTATTTTAGAAGAGATTGATAACTTTTTTCATCTTGTAGTACAGGTTGTACCTCTCTAGTCCGGCGACCACGGGACCTGACCAGTGCCGGACCATGGAAATTTCTGAACCATGGAAATTCACCCTTTTCCTGGACAGATAGTGACTTGCGTTTATGTTAGCACCACTTTCACTGCTTCGTGGTCTCTTTGAAGACATATTGAAGAGTTAAATGTCGTACAGTAGCTTCTCAAATTTCGCGAGTTTTTAATTCAACGTTTTTTATTTGGACACAAAAAAAAACTGCATAATATAAAATTTTGACGGCGGAAACTCGAATTTCGACGGGTTTGAGCGGTCCGCCAACGTTTAGACTTGCACAATCGTGTAAACAGTGTCATTTCTCTCATGTACAAAAGATTCATTATTGTTTATTACTGAATGTCTTTTTTATTGAATTAATGTTTATGTGTGCAAAATGAGCAATACAATTCATTAATAATACGTAGAATATTAAAGCACACGAGGAAATGAGACAGCATTGTTTTCGTTGATTACAAAACCAGTGACTGAGTGGTTCTACATATAAAACAAGAAAATAAGACCCTGGTTGTAGCTGAAGTAAAATTAGTGTAATGTTAAAAATTAATATGGTTGTGTTAAGTAATGTTATCTAATGTTAATAAATAGAACAATAAAAGTAGCAAACCATTTATGTTAAAGAAAAAAAAGTGAGATTGCGCGTTTGTAAGTGCGCACATGTGAAAAACATATCGTCATTACTCTACATTAGAATATGAAAGCAACACTTATTTACTCTTTATGTATGTTTAATTTATGTTTCTGATTTTTTTATTGAATTATTGTTTGTGTGTGCAAAATGAACAATACAATTCATTAATAATTCGTGGAATATTAAAACACACGAGGAGACGAGACGGCTGCCGGCATTGTTTTCGTTAACATTTACAAAACCAGTGACTGATTGGTTCTACAAAAAAAACAAGAAAATAAGACCCTGGTTGTAGCTGTAGTAAAAGTACAGTCAGTTCTGCTATAAAGCGATAGTTGTGTTCTTGTAAAACATCGTGTTATAGAAATTCGCGAAATAGAAATAACAGGGCTTATGGAGAAAATAGGTGTTAGGTGCAGATTACTACTCGAAATCGAAAAAAATTTAGTAGTTAGCCTAACACAAAGGATAGCACAGTCTAAATAAATGTTACATTCATATATAATAATGAAATCATACAGTAAATGTAACACTTTACCTTGAAAAAATATGAATATAACTTGATGGGGGAGAAGGGTGATTTTGAGGTAGATAACATCGAGCTTCTCTTCAAGGGTTATAGCCTTTCTTTTACGATCATCACAGGGAATGCGATCACCAGAACGCTTCTTGGAGATATTCTTCTTTACCATATTCACAGTTAATACCACAAAATTGGAGAAATAGTAAGCCAAAATCGCGTTACAGCAAACAAGTGTTCACGTTATACAAATATCGTTCCTCTATTCATGAATCGCTTAAGAGCCAATTCGCGTTGTCAAAACACGCGTTATAGCAGAACTCACTGTAATGCAAAAATTAATATGGTTGTTTGAAGTAATGTTATTTAATGTTAATAAATGGAACACTATAAGTAGCTAACCATTAATGTTAAAGAAAAAAGTGAGATCTCGTATGTAAGTGTGCACATGTGAAAACATATCGTCATTACTCTACATAAGAATATGAAAGCAGCACTTATTTACTGTTCATATATATTGAAGGGTTAAATGTTGTACTCTGTATAGACAAACAGAGAGAGAGAGCCGAACTGCCGGATGTAAACAAACCTTAATTTCCCGCGGCTTTGTTGTTTTTTGTTTTTTACGGGGATTAGCCAATCCGGGCACAGGTCACTGACCCACATTGGAGCCTGAGAGCCGAAAATGTGATACTCCTGTAATAATAATAATAATTCAGATATGTAAACAAAAATAAATAAATAAAGAAAAAATAATAAAAAAAAAAATAGCTGTCTATCTACCTATTGGACAAACTAAAATCGTTCCGGACCACGGGAGTTTCCGGACCACAGAATGCCGGATTAGAGAGGTACAATCTGTAGTAAACTTTACTTGAAATTTAATAATTTTTTTTTTTTGCACAGAACCTACAAACTTAGAAGTTGAAGAGGACACGACTGACACCTGGGTTGAAGGAGCAGAGAATGTATCTGTTCAAGAAACCTCAGCTGAAATTATAAACTGTGGATGTGGATCTACAGAGGAGGAGGGACTTATGTTACAGGTTTGTTCTCATTTACCATGATTCTTACTAATTTGATTAGACTTCATATGAAAATGATTTTATAGAGCTCTTGTAAGTTTATGCATTAAAAATAATACCTTATGTAATTATTAATAATGGTATTCAGCATTCATAATTTATAATAAAAACCCTGAGTACCAGACTAATTAAGCCCATGATAAATCCTACAATGCACAGTGCTACAGGCTGACCTCCCGTATTCATGTTTCAGAAAAAAGATTTCTTCAACAGTTATTCCACTCTTTGTAAACAATGTGGCTTAGAAATAAAGAAAATATAATATAAAACTATAAAATAAGAAAAATGAAGAACACGGGTGTGTATATGTGGGAAGTGGATGTGTGTGGAGGTTGTGGGTTACTGGGCTATAACTTCGTGGCCGCACTCCCTCCCGATGTAAAGTTACAGCCTACACACAGCGCAGCACTGCAGCCACACATCTGTGAGTCAACTGGGTGACTGCCTGAACTGTGTCATGTGTTCCAGAGGATGGGCTGAGTGTGGAAGGAGCTATTTTTTTAAACATAAAATATGTGCTACCCTGTATATTATTTTATGATATGCTATGTATCGACTTTATTGTTAATTATATCAATAAATATGGCCACTCGTCCCCATTACGCGTGATATTCAAACTTACGAGTCTAGCCGATTTTGGAGGAATTTTTACTTTTATTAATATTTCATTTTGGTGCCGGTTAGTGAATCTACCAGTTGCCTGGATACCTGATAACTGTGATTCTACTGTGTCCAGCTCCAAATTTCTCCATTATCTCGGGAACACAGCGTTTATTGTTGACCATGGCTAGCACTTCAAGTTTATCCTTTATGGTAAGGTGCTTTCAGCTCTTTGGAGCCTTAGCTGAGCATACTTGCTTGGGCAGTGTTCTCACTATGTGTGTTATTTATATGTATTGAGAAACAGGCCTGCACTGAGTAATAGCTACTCATAGACTGAGTACAGCCTGGCTGTGTTGTTGTGATGCAGGCGAACCACACACTGCACGCTGTGTCGCTTCACAACAATAAAAATGACACATGATACTTTTCAGGTTTAAAAAAAAAATTCCAAGATTCACGTCATTATTCAAATGTGTCATTACTCAGGTGGTCCAATCCTCAGGATCTTTACTCTACTTTAAAAAGTTTTTATGACCTTCAGGTCAATGAGTAACTTACAAATTCCATGCTGCTAAATTACCCTCAGTAGAACTTGTCTTTCCTGGAGGGCTAATATTTTTGTTGCATGCAATCTTCTCTGCCAGTGGGACCAAGGTTGAAGATTTGATCCGATTTCATCTGATGATTTTCTCTAGGAGTTTCTTGTTAAGGTTCAAAGCTCACTTCATATTAATACATTTCAAACCCTTCCAGCCATATAAGGAAGTTCATATTCCTACCTTCTTAGTTCCTATGATGGCACCAAAGTGACAAAAGCTACTCCTGGTCTTAGTTACTTTGTTATGCTGCCAGTTATTTCACATGGATCAACTCTAGGAGGCTAAGCATTAAGTATAGCCTTTACTCTACAGTGTGCTCCTGTTTGATGAGTAATATGTGTTCGGTGATTCTCATTCAGCAGGGCTCATTTTCCCAAAGGATCCCATGTTAAAAGCTGAGATGTGTTCCAGCCCCCCAAAAATTTCACCCTAAAACCCCAAGGTATAAGCTTAAATTGGTGGAGGGGACATAAGCATTCAGTTTTGTTTCTGAGGTGATGGCCTTCCTCATCATCCTTGGAGTGGTACTGCTCATTGTGCGAGCTGTCTTCTATGGACTCCACATTGTTGGAATTAATCATAAAAATAAGCCGTTTTTTCTAAAAACCAGTTTTTGTGATATAGCTCGAATGCGACGATCAGCAATGCTACCTAGGTATGTTAATTCCTAGCCAATTCACCAGGCCAACATACAGGCAATTAAAACATCTAATAATTACTTAATAAGTAATATTAGGGTACTGCTCATTGTGCTAGCTGTCTTCTTTGGACTCCACATTGTTGGAATTAATCATAAAAATAATGATAAATTTACGCACTTGATTTCAACATATTGCCAGAGGAATCTCTATAAGACTAGATATGTTTTGTATGTCAGGGGTTCCCAACCTTTTTCATAATAATAATAATAATAATAATAATAATAATAATAATAATAATAATAATAATAATAATAATAATAATATTTATTCAGTAAAGTTGTCATGCAAGTTTACAATTATTGGATTAGCACGTTTATAAACTATGCAGTTATGCAGTTCAGCATGAATATAGACAATGTAGGGAAAGGGTGCACATAAGCCAGGGGAGTACTGTATACAGTTTCCTTTATACCGAGACACTGCAATTAAATGAATGGTCAACAGTTGGCAACTTGACCAAGTATAGCCGACAAAGCTGTCAGGTTCTTATTTCTAGAAGGCTCCTTTGCTTAGGTTGGTCTTTAATCAGTAATAGAATGTCTACAGGAGTATTAGTGAAGTTTATTTGCTAGAATTCAATAAGCAATACATTGCGCTTGGACTAACCGAGGCTGGCTGATCACTACCACGTCAGTGGAGACTGAGGCGCATTTTATACAGTATAATTGTTGTTTTTGTACCTACATGTTTCATTTTTAAATGTAGCACCAGGCCTAAAACATACAAGGTATACAGTAAACCCTCTTAACTGGCTGTGAAGCCTTTGTTCATATCACTAGATTCATTCCTAAAAGTATATTTTAAATGTACACTATAACATTAATAATATTAAAACTTAAAATTGTATGCATGTCCAGGTAAACAGTAATAACAAAAGCATACAGAGAGAAATAATGAAAGCAAAAAAAAAAAGAGCAAAATTGCACACACTGTGTTTTAATGTCCACTGATGCTCGCCTAAGCAACTCAGCAGTGTCCCTAGCAACTTTGCTCCAAATCGCAAACCCTCTGACCTCCACACACTCGCCACATGGCTTCGTGGTAGAAACCCCTGGGTACAGTTGACCCCTCACCAACCACAGATTTCCCATCCGCAGATTCCAGGTACAATATCCATGGTTTTTACTCTGTACAGTACAGTGGTCCCTCGGTTAACGAGCACAATTCGTTCCAGAAGGTTGCTCGTTAACCGAAACCATTGTTTCAATGGGTTTTTGGGTAATTGGTTCCAGCTCACCGAAAATTACATACAAACGAAAAATAAATGCATTAAAGTACACTTACTTTGAGGTGTGCATGTAGAAGGCTCCTGGTTGATGATGATGATGATGTGAATTAGAATGGGGGTGGAGGAGAAGGGAGAAGAGAAGGCATTGGGGTGGAAGAGAAGTCACCCCATGCTGCCATTTCACCCATAAAATTATAGTTCACTTGGTGTAATTCAAGATTATTTTCTTTAAATCAACACTGCACTGTGCTATATATTATCAATATGTAAAATATATTTCAAAATGACCAATAATTTGACTGGAAACAGAAAAAAAGCGTTTATGTTGAAGAGTCTCAAACAAGATGTTCCTTCCTCTGAACCTGTAAACAAACTGACGCCAAGCTTGGTGTGTTGAGTGGCTGTTTGACACGCATAAAACTAGTTTCCTGTACTTCAGTTATGTTCAATAATTGTTAAAATGACAAACAAATTTAATATAAAACTTATAAAATGATTGAATAGTACAACCTTCTTGATATTTACTAAAATGGTAAGGAATTTATGTCCTAGAACCGATTACTGTATTGGCGGAATCATACGACAGCTAGTGAGCAAGCGAAAACATGTTGAGGGGCGCTCATAAGGAATTCGTTAATCGAGGGATTGCTCATTAACTGAAGTGAAGAATCTTATGGAAGGTAATTTGTTAACCGAAATTTTCGTTAACCGAGGCACTCGTTAACCGAGGGATCACTGTATATCATTTCACCAACCACAGCATTGGATTTTGAGTATCCGCTGATTAGTGTGGCGTCTTTATCCCTCCACGGTCTAATGTATTACTCTGTAATTGTGAGGAATGAATAAAAATAATACTAAGACATAAAAGAAAAGAAAAAATACTGCATTGCCATTTGACAATCGTTTCACTAAGGACATGGGAGACAGGAGTATGCTCCCCCCTCTTGCTTCCACGATCATGGGCTAACTCCTGTGGATGTAAGAAATGTATATTGTTATGCCATAACTTAGCAACTTAAATTACGTTAAATATGAATCTAATAATGAGGGCACAGATGGTACAACCAAAAAACAAATTGGCAACTCAGCCCAACTTAGTCCTTAATATTTATCACTAAAATTAATGTTACTGCAATACACAGCAAACAATGTTAAATGCAAAAATTACAAACACAAATAAGGATGAAATTGTACATCATGCGTTCAATCACAGCCCTCTTACTTTAGCACAACAGTTCAGGAGTGAAGGCTTAAGATTATACACGGCACAAAAATTTTAAATAAAATTTAATTACAAAAGTTTAAAAAATAAATGTGCAGGTTAACTAGTGGATGGATAAATTATTTCAAAAGACTAAGTAACATAACTTTGGAAGTTTTTAGCATTGGGCAAACCATCATAGGAAATGACTCCTTACAAAATTAAACTGTACTTGGTTTTCCATCCTTAATAAACAATTAAAATGTTCAGTGTATGTAAATAATTGATTGTACTATACACACAATACAGAATATTAGAGCAGCACTGAATGTATAATACTTAATTAAACCTTATTAGAGAAGGTGTCCACCACTCGCTGATCCATACGTCCTGTCAACACCCAGCCATGACTAACCCAAACACACTGGTGCACCGGTGAACTCCAATCCTGAACAGCACTAATTTAAAGCAACTACTACATTAAGCTGCAAAAATAGTTCAAACATACATACATTTTAGGACACAATTTTAGGTATCAATTACCAGTTTTGCTCACAAATAATTAAATACAATATTTTACATACAGTCCACCTTGACACATAGTCATCCCGACACCAATGCCACCA